GCTATAATTGCAGTATTTTTGTTTTTTCTATTTCTTTCCTTTCCTTTGACTTTTTTTTACTTGACTTCCTCCTGAAATTTTTCAGCTCAAATGCTGTGTTTGCCATGACTGTTTGCTCTCTCTCTCTCTCTCTCTCTCTCTCTCTCTCTCTCTCTCTCTCTCTCTCTCTCTCTCTCTCTCTCCTCTCTCTCTCTCTCTCTCTCTCTCTCCTCTCTCTCTCTATCTATCTATCTATCTATCTATCTATCTATCTTTACTAATACTGGTTAAATTTACGAAGGAGCTGTCTTCAACAAGAACTTACCACGGTCTTCCGGTCATTTCCTAGTCCCTGGTGTCTTACAAATGAGATTCCGTATTGTGCACCAACAGCCTGATTGACCAAGCTCTTCACCATCATTAAGGCACTCTCCCTTCAGAGCGCCTATTAGAGAGAAGGAAGAGCTGGATACATAACTATGTCAGGAATGCTGTGAAGTTGGCGAGAATTAAACCGGAGTTGTTGAGAGAAGGATAAAAATACAACGTTATTGTTCTGAACTAGAGAGAAATTTTTTTCTCATTAAGCAAGTTGGTCTAAAAAGATTGATTAATTAACTAAGTAAGCTGGTAAACATGGACTGTTGAAGAACATAAGGGCTAGTGAAGAGCATGTGGAGTGGTGTTAAGCATGTGGAGTGGTGTTAAGCATGTGGAGTGGTGTTAAGCATGTTGACTATATAAAACCATATGGACTATAGAAAGGCATAGGGACTAGTGGCACACATATGAGACTTGAGAAGTGGAGCCGAGAGGATGCCAATAGGATGATAACGGGAGTTAACGCACATGATAATATGGATCCATAAAATTACACGGAACATTCATGCATGATATAGGTCATGTTCGATGTTGTACAGTTTAAACATCAGGAGTATGTTCAACAGCTAAAGATCAACATAAACATTTTGCTGGATATAATACTGCACAAATTTTCAACCTTATGTTACACTACTTAAACATCAGGGGGAATTATTCTGTCAATTATTCTGTCTAAACATTCTTGAATGTTTTCTCTCATATTTCATACTTAATCATTTAAACATTGATAATATATATGTATCAAGGTTTAAACATAGTATCATATATCTCAAACAATATATACTCCTAAATATTTACCGAATATTTCTTGGAGTTTTGAGCGGGTGGTAAGGAACTGGGTTTGAAGAGACACTTTAAACTCAATAAAAGACCTTGTCTTGAAGACTCCAAACACTCATTCATTTCCTTCCAGACGCAACCTATTTATCCTTTAAGATGTCACAAAGATGTGACCAAATGAGGTCACTCCCTCACCCTTCATTCTATGTCTCTTTAGAAACCTTTATCTAGCTGCCTGGAAGTCTCCCTTTAGCTCTCTGAAATCCCTCATTTTCTTCCTGGAATAGTCCTTCAGACACGCTGGAAATATACATAAATAACACGCACATAGAAGGCTGGAACTTACCTGTAAAATTGAAAGAGGGAAATAGAGAAGATGAGCATAAGTGGAAAGGGAATGAATAGTGGAAGTTAAAGAGATGGGAAGAGAAAGAGTGAAAAGAATCCAGAGATGAGGGAGGAGAAAAGAGTACAGAAAGAAGCGGGAAGAAAATAACTTTAGGAAATCTTGATAAGAAAGGAGGCTGATGATGAAGATGTAAACACAGTAAAGAGAATGAGAACTAGAAGAAGGCGTTGAAGAACTAGAAGATGGTGTTGAAGAACTAGAAGATGGTGTTGAAGAACTAGAAGAAGGTGTTGAAGAACTAGAAGAATGGTGTTGAAGAACTAGAAGATGGTGTTGAAGAACTAGAAGATGGAATTGAAGAACTAGAAGATGGTGTTGAAGAACTAGAAGATGGAGTTGAAGAACTAGAAGATGGTGTTGAAGAACTAGATGAAGGCGCTGAAGAACTAGATGAAGGCGCTGAAGAACTAGAAAGGCGTTGAAGAACTAGATGAAGGCGTTGAAGAACTAGATGAAGGCGTGAAGAACTAGATGAAGGCGTTGAAGAACTATATGAAGGCGCTGAAGAACTAGATGAGGCGCTGAAGACTAGATGAAGGCGCTGAAGAACTAGATGAAGGCGTTGAAGAACTAGATGAAGGCGCTGAAGAACTAGATGAAGGCGTTGAAGAACTAGATGAAGGCGTTGAAGAACTAGATGAAGGCGCTGAAGAACTAGATGAAGGCGTTGAAGAACTAGATGAAGGCGCTGAAGAACTAGATGAAGGCGCTGAAGAACTAGATGAAGGCGTTGAAGAACTAGATGAAGGCGCTGAAGAACTAGATGAAGGCGTTTTAAGAACTAGATGAGGGGCTAAGAACTAGATGAAGCGTTGAAGAACTAGATGAAGGCGCAGAAGAACTAGATGAAGGCGCTGAAGAACTAGATGAAGGCGTAAGAACAGATAAGGCGCTGAAGAACTAGATGAAGGCGCTGAAGAACTAGATGAAGGCGCTGAAGAACTAGATGAAGGCGTTGAAGAACTAGATGAAGGCGTTGAAGAACTAGGATGAAGGTGTTGAAGAACTGAAAGAAGGCGTTGAAGAAATGATGAAGGCGTTGAAGAACTAGATGAAGGCGCTGAAGAACTAGAATGAAGGCGTTGAAGAACTAGAATGAAGGCGTTGAAGAACTAGTGAAGGCGCTGAAGAACTAGAAAGAAGGCGCTGAAGAACTAGATGAAGGCGTTGAAGAACTAGATGAAGGCGTTGAAGAACTAGATGAAGGCGTTGAAGAACTAGATGAAGGTGTTGAAGAACTAGATGAAAGGCGCTGAAGAATAGATGAAGGCGCGAGAACTAGAAAGAAGGCTTGAAGAACTAGAAAGAAGGCGTTGAAGAACTAGAGAAGGCGTTGAAGAACTAGATGAAGGTGTTGAAGAAATAGATGAAGGCGTGAAGAACTAATGAAGGCGTTGAAGAACTAGATGAAGGCGTTGAAGAACTAATGAAGGCGTTGAAGAACTAGATGAAGGCGTTGAAGAACTAGATGAAGCGTTGAAGAACTAGATGAAGGCGTTGAAGAACTAGGATGAAGGCGTTGAAGAACTAGATGAAGGCGTTGAAGAACTAGATGAAGGCGTTGAAGAACTAGATGAAGGCGTTGAAGAACTAGATGAAGGCGTTGAAGAACTAGATGAAGGGTTGAAAACTAATGAAGGCGTTGAAGAACTAGATGAAGGCGCTGAAGAACTAGAATGAAGGCGTTGAAGAACTAGATGAAGGCGTTGAAGAACTAGATGAAGGCGCTGAAGAACTAGATGAAGGCGTTGAAGAACTAGATGAAGGCGCTGAAGAACTAGATGAAGGCGTTGAAGAACTAGATGAAGGTGTTGAAGAACTAGATGAAGGCGTTGAAGAACTAGAGAAGGTGTTGAAAAAACTAGATGAAGGCGTTGAAGAACTAGATGAAGGCGTTGAAGAACTAGATGAAGGCGCTGAAGAACTAGATGAAGGCGTTGAAGAACTAGATGAAGGCGTTGAAGAACTAGATGAAGGCGCTGAAGAACTAGATGAAGGCGGTTGAAAAACTAATGAAGGCGCCTGAAAAAACTAGATGAAGGCGTTGAAGAACTAGATGAAGGTGTTGAAGAACTAGATGAAGGCGTTGAAGAACTAGATGAAGGTGTTGAAAAACTAGATGAAGGCGTTGAAGAACTGGAAGAAGCCGTGAAGAAGAGGAGGAGCCGTTGAAAGAACAGAAAAGGAAGATGACCTCTTGAATAAAGTAAAGTTGTTTAAATTAAAGGGCCGGAAACCAGTCGGGTTCTGATGGGAAAAAAGGGTTTTGGTGCTGAAATGGAGGCGCAAACTTAAGGGGAAGACTGAAGAGAGATAAAGAAAAATAAAAAAAAGAAAGAAAAGGGTTCTTGCCTACAAACTTCTCGACTACCCAAGAGGAGGCTCTCAAGCCTCTTCAGGCAACGCGAAAAAGAAAAGAAAATTTTGGTCCTGTATTGTGGAAGAGATCCTCAAGTCTTGTCACCGAGCCAAGGGTAACGTCCAGTAGGCGACCACCAGATTCTGCAGACTTTATAAGGAATACAAGTCGGGTGAGAACCTTCGGCTACTTCCTCCTCCTCTTCCTCCTCCTCCTCCTCCTCCTCCTCCTCCTACTACTACTACTACTACTACTAATTTTCTCTTCCTTCTCTTCCTCTTCTTTCTCTTCCTCCTCCTGTGTGGCATCTTAAAGGAGCAATAGCTCTTGAGGTATTTACCTGACGTGGGTAGCTGGGAGAGGAGACGAGGGATCTTCATTTGTTTGTGTAACGGCCATCGCGAGTAGTAGTTGTAATAGTAGCAGCAGCAGCAGCAGCAGAAGTAGTAGTAGAAGTAGTAGTAGTAGTAGCAGTAATAGCAGTAGCAGTAGTAGCAACAGCAGTAGTAGTAATAGTAGTATGAACAGTAGAAGTAGTGGTAGTAGTAGTAGTAGTAGTGGTAGTAGTAGTAGTAATAGTGGATGTAGTAGTATGTTTTTATATTAAAAAATCCATTCTTTCCCAAGTGTCTCATCTTTTTTTTTTTTTTTTACTTTTTACTAAGGACTCTATAAATCATTGATCAGGATATACACAGTTGAAAGACACCATCTTGTAGATCAGGGCTTCTTGCCTCTACATAATCTTGAATATTGTCACTACATTGGCACCTGTTTAATGTATTTTACCTCTCACGTCCAAAAAGTGTTTCGTAGATTTGTAATAGTTGATTTTATAGGTCGTCACTTCCTTCCATCAGTATCCATGTTAAGATACTGTCTGGCAAAAGTTGCAATTGTTCGTAATCTTATCTTGGCTCTGTATTACACAGTATTTTTTTAATAATACCGATTTCCATAAATATGAATAATCATTTTATTTCTAATGGTGTATTTCTTCTTGCCTTATAAGTTGTATTTGTCATATAATAGTGATTTATGCATGCCACTGCAAGCTCTTTATATTCTTCTGATACAAGGATTTGTCCTCAGGGTTCCTTTCTTGGGATGAAGAAAAGGCGCACGTGGACATCCACAAGGAACTCGCAACCATCGCTGAACTTAACTTAGAAGGAGAAGAACAGAAAGGAGGTGAGTCGTGACAGTCTTTGTATCTTGGCTGAAACTCAGCTGGTTTTTTCAGTGTCTCGTGTGGCACGTAGAAAATAATTCCTTACTGACAATAGCTATCCACTTGCTATTATTATTACAATCAAAATTAAGTGCTAAAATTTTCCACATGTTCCATCGACACTCATATATAATCTTGTGTTTAGTTCAGGTATTTCAGCACTTGGCACTTAGGAAGATGTGTATGACTTGAAATATAATTATTTCCATGAGTAGGACTGCTCCCTGTAAAAACGTCCTCCCTGCAGGCTTGGCAGGCTCGAAACGTCATGCTCGAAACGTTATCCAGGCAATACGAATAGCAATATTTTAAGCCCATCGTAGAGACATGATATTCCTAACTGTGCACATAGCTAGTCAGTCAGCTTACTAACTAGCTAAGTAGGCACGCTGTACTCTTCCTCATTAACAAATTTAGAGCAAGGGTAGTGTCAGGTCAGAGTGAAAATTAGCAAGTCAGGTACTACCTTTCATACTTATTTCAGTCCTAATTTAAAATGCTCCTCCCCCCAAGTCAAAGACCACCAAAAAAATTATCTGAATTTCTGTCTCATAGGATATAATCTATGATATCATAAGGTATCGCAGATTACATCCACACATCTGGCAGGTTAGACTTCATAGGATGGCAGGTATTACCTGGATTATACCTGGAAGGTGTTCCGGGGGTCAACTCTCCCGCGGCCAGGTAAAATAACCCTTTGCGCTGCCCTGACCTGTATTGTAAGCAACGTTACGCTCTGTGATGCGCTTTGTTAAGTCGTTCTAAACAGAGAGAAATATCGTGCATAATAAATTTTTGGTTTCCATAAAGCTTTTTATCAGAATGTTGTATACGTCAGTGCAACTCCAGGCTGTTACTGTATGTATCAGTATGACGACAGGCTGGGTTATGGTATATATATATATAAATAGATAGATATATTATGTATCTACTGAGACGCTGTATCTCAAGTATATTTAAATGTCTCGTAACACTTATCAGTGAGAATAAAACTTGTGCATATTATAACAGCACAAATAAGATGTATTACTTCGGCAGGAGAACGGCTGATACAATATGCCACCGAGAATCTGGTCGCAGAGGTGTTGATCCACCCCCAGGTCAACACACTGCAGCAGTGCCTCAAGAACCTACTCTCCTCCTTCACCAAACATAGACACATCATCCACGCTGGATACGCCTTCACAGGCTCAGGCTCGTGGATGCTCCAGGTGTGTATATATGTGTATATTAATGTTAGAATATACAGATACAAGAATGTAAATAAGACACAAACTTTCATCACGTTTCTCTCTGGAGATAAATGGTATTAAATACTAACACGATGGAAAAATTGGTCCGTCTCAAATCCAACCGCCTCAACATTTTCCACCTGACTCTAAACCCTGTATATACTCACATACTTGTGACTTGATAAATCCCACTGTGTTGCGAAACGTTGTCAATAAAGGATCGCATTATAGCAAATTACTCACGAAATCGTAATGACACGATTGCAAACAAACCATACCACGGGCGGGGATAGAACCAGCGATCAGAGAGTCATAAAACTTCAGGCCTATGCTAACCTTCCTATGGTGTATAAATATACCTAGTTGGTTGAATCTTATTGTGGCTAGCTGGCCCAGTGACTAACGCGACGGTCTGGAGTTTCATGACTCTGATCGCGGGTTCTAACCCCTCCCCGCCGTGGTATGGTATATTATACTACATTTTTCTCTGTTTTTCCAAAGTTTCTCTCTGCTAAGCGCAAGTTTCCTGTGAAGTGTTGAAAGTTACGCTAATGTGACTCTTTTATTCTCTACGCAATACGTCGTTTATTTAATTAAGAAGACGCTTCGTCCACCAGATACTTCATCAATCCGTGGACTGACGAGATCCCTGGTGGACGAAACTTTTCTCAAAAATGCCATAAACTGTATATAGTGTCTTATTCACATTCTCCAGGTGTTTATCACCCCCATGTTTTGAAGACCATCACATATTACGATATAACTCACTGAAGCCATGACAGACAATCTTAAAACTAGCAGACCAGTGGACATGCGATAGAACCTCCTCTCCCCCTTCCCCTCTCGGGAGCTGCAAATAATCGTGTCCTTACGATTTATTGATTTTTTTTTTTTGCCTATGTAAATAACCCATTGTTTGGGAGAGGAAAATTTAGACGAGGTTTCGTTTCTTCATTGATCATTATTAAGTTACAATGTTCATGATTTTTATTATGGTTCAGGGTTTACCGAAACCTCGCCTGTAGTTTCCTCTCATGTTCATTCTAGTCATTTCATAAAGCTTTTCATTTAAGACAGTTTTCACTTCTAAATCTCTTTCCCTAGTCAATACACCTGCAATTTGCCTTCCTTTATATTTCTAATTTAGATTCGTAATAGCACTCTTTGTTCTGTAAATATTACTTACATTTCAACAAACCACTGCGCTTCTATGCAAACTGGTTCAGACTTTTTCTGCCACCGATACTTTAAATGTTTACTCTATTTCCTGCTATTCTTGTCCTCTCCAACGAATATGTGATACTGGCCGCTTCGTTACCGGCAAATATTGTCAAATAAATATTTTTTTCTGAAATAACGACCCTATTGTTTGTGATGTTAGGGAATCATAGTTATCCCACTAGCAGGTCCAGTGACATAATTGTCAATCCCTCTGTTACACATCACAGACCCATATTAAACAGAGAGAAACATGCACTGGAACAAGCCTTTATTCGTTTTGTGCAGTAAAGAGCTTTTTAAAACCATGAATTGATAAAGATCTACACCAGTGTCATTTCTTCATATAGTTGGCAGAGCGTCATTTAAACAGATGCCATCTGAACGGGCTCTTACACATATTTAATTACAGAAGCTTAATCCTTTCTTGGTGTCCGTAACTGCTTGACTCTCAATGTGCACCGTCAAATATTCTAATTTTCCGGACGCGTGACAAGACCTGATCATGAGGACTATAAGCGGGATCCCGCTTATAGTCCTCAACGTCACCCCATAACTGCCATCACCACTACTAAAAAATTACCTTTAAATGATTATCTTTTTCTCCCCAACTGACAGCGTCTTCATCTTACAGGATGGAACTTTCTCAGTGGCGGACCTCATCGCTGCCTTCAGTGAATATGAAGTGCAGCGGGTCCTTCATGCCTATGAGAACTGTATTACTATTGACATCCATTGTGCTCCCGAGGGACACTGGTCGACACATTTCCTTGCGAAGGAATCATTTAGGTAGACTCCCTGTTTACCTTTTCTTCCTGTGTTGTATCTGAGAGTTTATCAGTTTATCAGTTTATTTCGCGGCTTATTAGACGCATTATTTTCCATAAAATGTCTCCAAAAACCACCCTGCGTCCTATAAACTGAAAGTCAGTGACGGGAGCTATGAGTTTGGGGTGGGCTGCAGCTCTCCCAGTTACGTTCGATGCTGAGCCATTGAAACTATAACAAGTCTTATAAGTCGCGTCTTATAAGCCGCGAAATACGGTAATTAATTACTCTCTTAGTTTTTCGTGTTTCTCAGTTCATCAATATTCAAGTTTATCAGTAAGACTACTTACTTCTATATCTATTTTTTTTTTTGGATTCATATTGTTGACATAAAAATAACGATAATAATAGTGTTAATAATAACATTGATATTATTAATTCCACTACATGCAGTACATTAACCAAAATTATTATCATTATACAATTGTTCATTAATGGTTTATTAACTGGGTTTAAGTATATCGACTTCACGATGATCGTTAAGGCTGCATGTCACCTGTGCACCACCAGTCAAGAATACTTTAATATCTAGGATATGGATCCAAGTAAACTCTATATACACACACATACACACACACACACACACACACACACACACACACACACACACACACACACACACACACACACACACACACACACACACACACACACACATATATATATATATTATATATATATATATATATATATATATATATATATATATATATATATATATATATATATATATATATATATATATATATATATATATATATATATATATATATATATTATATATATATATATATATATATATATATATATATATATATATATATATAGTGTTAGTATTATATATATATATATATATATATATATATATATATATATATATATATATATATATATATATATATATAATATATATATATATATATATATATATATATATATATATATATATATATATATATAATATATATATATATATATATATATAATATATATATAATATATATATATATTATATATATATATATATATATATATATATATATATATATATATACATATAAGTGAATTATAATTTATTTAAGTAAATTTTTTCTTTAAACAGTATGAATAATATATAATAATGTATATGTATGTTAAAATGTATTTACTTGATGCTTTTCACAGATTACCACATATTTATAATATGGCCATTATTAAAAAAATGTAGCTTAGAATCAAAATAATTATTGAACATTGGAAGTTACTCCAGACTTTAGTGAACTAGGTTATGAAGGTCATTATTGCTTAATATTCTGTGTGAGGCTGCGTGGTTAGTGATTAGTCTCTCATTAATAGTTAGTTTTTTCTTAGGTAAATCATAAATATCAGATAAATGTGCGTATAGGCTTGTGTGAAGTCTAGATCTGAAAGCTAATAAATACTAGTTAAATGTTAAATAAATTAATTTATATAGCACTTCAGGTATTCTTGTGTTAGTACACATAGCAATATTTGACTCTAGTGTCAGTCACAGTCAAGCATGACTGTTTACTGGGGGAGGAATCACGCAGAATGATGTTCACATGAACTGCTCAAAGATTATGAGAAATTATACTCATTAACGTCACGCATCTAAGTGAAACCTCTTCTGGTGAAAGTCATAGACTGAGGAACCTTGTAGTCAGAATTTGGCGATTACGAAATATTATGTATTAAAAACTTCTAAATTTTAACAGTCAAAAGTTATGATAAGTAATGAAACATTTATATTAAAATATGTATAGTAAAATGTGTACTTTGAAATATGCATATCAGTATTATTCATGTATTTTCCTTATGTCACTAATATGATAATTTACATTGCAGCAAACTATGTCGTGTGACAGTGAACCCGGACGACAAGATTGAGATCACCCCCGGAATCTCAACTTTCGTCCTCTACCTGTCTCAATTCCTCAGTAGTACAGCTATCGAGGATCTTCTCGAGCCTTCAGACATTGTGGGTAACATCCGCTTCTCTCGCCCCACTTTATATGTCTTCCCAGGTGGACAAGGCGACTCAGCTCTCTTCGGCGTCAATGGATTTAACATGCTAGTGGATGGCGGCTATAATTACAAGGCCTGTTTCTGGGACTTTACACGACATCTTGATCGTCTCGATGCAGTCTTGATCACAAGGCTTAACAGTTCTAATCTTATGGGCATCACAAATGTGATTCGTAGAAAAGCATTAAGTGCAGTGTATCCACAGATAGGACATACATTTTGCAATGTTGCTGGTTCATTAAAGTCTCCCGATGGTGACAAAGACAGAGACCCATTACTCATTAATGTCTGGGATGAAGGTCATTTATTGCGAGAAAATTTAAGACAAATTAGTTTAAAACCTCACTTGTGTTTCCGTGACAATGCCATGGAACCAATTAATTTATATCATAAAGTAGGACATGGAAAACTTGATATGTATGTGATAAATCCCTCTAGAGACAGTAAAGAAGTGCGAGAGTTTATGCAAAGATGGAACAATGAAGTGATTTCATCTGACATGGGCTCTACTAGCTACAAAATTGGTGATAAAATCTTTCACTGTCCTTTAACAAACCTTACCTCCATATGTGCACTGTTGATATGGCAACCTAACGACCCAAGTGATACAATAACTAGAATTCTTTTCCCTGGAAGTACTCCCCAACACAAAATATTTGAAGGCCTTGAAAGGTTACGCAATTTAGAATATCTCAAATATCCAACTTGCTCAGCGAAGTCCATTAAAGCAGCAGCTGAAGAACGCAAGAGCACGAAAACCATGGAAAAGCTCTTAGCTGATTCCAAGCCAACCAAAGCAGTCAGTCCATCCCCACCAACACATAGACTTAGAAGGGAAAGAATTGACAGATCGATTAGTAGAGAAGAAAGAAGAAGGTTAAAGATGGAACGCTCGGAATATCAAGAGAAAACTATTCGTGAATCTAAAAAGGAAAGAAAAGTTGAAAGAAAGGTAGAAAAGAAATCAATCAAACGGGAAATCAAGAAAGAGAAAATCGAAGATAGAAAGGAAGAGAAAGTTACAACTGAGCTTGAAGAAACTAAAGAAAAAATGAATGGCCATGACATAATCATTGATTCTTTGGAATCTATTGAAGACAAGAAAATCATTACCACAGAAGAGGTCACTATAGCTAAAGAAGATCTTAGAATAACAGAAGATGTTACTGATCTGGCTGTTACCAAAGAACCTCCTAGTTTACCCATACATATAGCTGAAGAAACAATAGAACCAAAAAAGACCATAGAACAAGAAGAAATACCAATCAAAGAAGTAGAAGTTAGACCAATTGAATTGGAGGCAAGAATAGAAGCTATGGAAATAATAGAAACTAAAGAACTACCAGAGCTTGAGTCACTGGAACTCAAAGAAGCCTCCCTAGTCTCTGCTGAATCTGGTGTTGTAACTGGTGAAGAAAGAGAATCCTCTCTCGAAATTGAGCAGATTAAAGAAATCAAGGAAAAACCTAAGCTTAAGGAGAGGAAAATAAAGGAAACCGGTGTTCCTGACAGACCCAAGAAATATCGGAAACCTAAAGTTGAATCCCGCATAGATACAGGTGATAGAAGAGCGAGGATTGAAGACAAAACACGTGTTGAAAGAAAAATCAAAGAAAGAAAAAGCCTTGAAAGAAAAGAACGAAAAGAACGCAAAGCAGAACCTGAAGAAAAGAAGGAAGGTGAACCCACTGAAAAGAAACCAGAGGTGAAAGAAAGAAAAATCAGAAGAATAAAGAAGACTGTTGACGAAGCAGGTACACCCAAAAAGCCACTGACACCCGAGAAGAAAAGACGGCTAAAGAAGGTTACTCCAGCAGAGAAGGAGGAGAAGGTGAATGGTGAAGTTAAACACATTAAACCCTCCGTTCCTAAAGTCCCTCGGGTTGAAAGAAGAATAGTTCCTAAGACTACCCCAACTGCAGCTCGCGAGATAACGCACAAGAAACTAGTTGATGACAGGAACAGAGCGGCAAAGGCTGCTGAGGCGGCGAAGAAGGAGTTGAAACCCAACCATCAGTGCCAAGGGCTGCGGCAAGACAGGCAGCACCTAGCAGACCTCTTAAGGCAAGAAAGATCGAGAAACCACCAGCACCAAAACCCGACGGACCAATGAAAAAGATCATCACCGGAGCAGCTGTGAAAGCAGGAGTCATGGCCGCGGCTGTATCAGGCGTGGCTGTGGTGGAAGCAGCTGCTGACCGCGAAGATGTAGAGGAGATTGTGGCTCCTATGAAAGAAGCCGAAGATCTCATGCTGGTTCCTGACCAAGATGAAGAGGACCGCATCTCTGACATTGCTAACATTCCAGGTGTACAGGAAATCAAATTAGACGAAGACACTTTGCAGATTATAGATAAAAATCAGCTTGAAGAGGAAGAAAAAGATTCTCTAATTTTGCATGAAGAAGGAGTTGTTGAACATGTCGAGAAGGAAGATGTAATTGAGGAAGTGGAAGAGCACATAGAAGCTGAAAAGGAAATTGAAGAGGAGGAGGAGGAAGAGGAAGAGGAAGAAGAGGAAGAAGAGGAAGAGGAGGAGGAAGAAGAAGAAGAGATAGAAGAAAAAGAAATAGAGGAAGATATTGAAAAGGCAGAAAAATTAAGAGAAGAAATAAAAGCATACGAAGACGAGGAAGTACTTGAAGATGAAGAGAAAATAAGCATCGAAGAAAAAGAAGATGAAGCAGAAAAGATGAAGAAAGAAGACAAGATCACCCTTCCTGAAGCCAAAGCTGAAGATATTGCAAAACTTGAAGAAAAACATGAAGCAGAAGATATATACGAGAAGATCGAAACCGAAGACGTATACGCAACCTTACCCAGTAGTGCAAAGCTCACAGAGTACAAAGAAAAATATGAAGAGAAACCAATTAGAGGCTTATTCACTGGGTTTGCTATTCCTGCCGCTGAACCTAAGGAGGTGGAAGCAGTACCAAAGGAACCAAGTCCTAAGGCCAGAGAAGACACGATGATTCCAACATCCTTCCCTGAAGCAATATTCAAGCCTGCCCCACCAGTTCATCCAAGAGATATAATCAAAACACCAGATGAGGTGGATGACCTTCCAATACACGAGGAGGTGGAATCCATCGAACATGATCTCTATGAGAAGGAAATCGAAGTTGAAAAACGATCTGTTGAAGATCTCGACCTTGGTTCTCCTGTTCTAGAAGTTAAGGGAGAATTACAAATTAGAGAAGAAATGGGAATTGAGAAACACGAAAAAGAGCTGGAAAAGGAAGTTTCCAAGGAAAGCGAGGTGGAAGAAGAGCTTGAAGAGGAAGAAATCTCTAAAGAGGAAAAATTATCTAAGTCTTTAGAAGACTTTGAGGCAAAATACGAAGAATTTAGAACTACTGCCGTCACAGAAGTAATTGAAAAAGGCGTGATAGTAACTGATACAACAGATATTACCACGAAATTAGACAAAGCTGAGCTTCTTAAAGACATTGCAATCACTCTTGGAGAGAGAGAAGAGCCAGTCAAAGCAAAGCTTCCAGAGCCTGAAATTGGTGAAAAGGAAGAAGTTCATGAAGAACCAATTGTCAAACACGAGAAACCAAAGAAAGTAACACCAACGTACGAAGAACTTGAACCTGAGAAAGTTCCTGAAAAGGAAAAACGGGATAAAGAAGAAAAAGAAATTGATGAGCTAGAATATGAAGACAAAGAATTGCTAGAAGTTAAAGAAAAGGAAATTACAGAAATGATGGAAAAAGATCAGGTTTATAAAGCTGAAATAGAGGAAAAGACAGTTGAAGAAGTCAAAGAAGTTACAGAAGAGGAAGTCAAACGAACTGAATTCCTTCAAGAAATAGAAGCAATAATAAGATTAGGTTCAACAACAGAACAAATTATTGAGTACATAGAAATACAAGAAAGAAGAAGAGGAAAAATATTAGGATGGAGAACAGAAGAAATAATTGAATATATTGAGACCCAAGAAAAAAGATTAAAGGAAGTTGAAGAAGAAGAGAAGGTTATTGAAAAAGAAGTTGAGATAGTTGAAGTTACAAAAGAAGTAGAAGAAGTTATCAAGAAAGAAGAAGTAAAGAAAATAGAAGAAGTGCCTGAAAAGATCAAAGAAATAACTGAAGAAATCCCCGAAAAAGAAGTTCCAAAGAAGGATATTGTAAAAGAAGAAGTCACAGTTGAAGATGTCGCCCGAACTGACTTCCTCAAAGAAATACAAGAAAAAATTAGACTAGGCTCAACAAGAGAAGAAATTATTGAATACATTGTAATACAAGAAAGAAAACGAGGTAAAATATTAGGCTGGAGAACAGAAGAAATAATTGAATATATTGAGACACAAGAGAGAAGAATAAAGGAAGTTGAAGAAGTTACTGAAGAATTAGAAGTAAAGAAAGTAGAAGAGATTGCTAAGAAAGAAGAAGTAAAGGAAGTAGAAGAGATTCCTAAGAAAGAAGAAGTAAAGAAGATGGAAGTGCCTGAAAAGGTAACAGAAGTTACAAAAGTAATCCCTGACAAAGTACCTGAAAAAGAAGTCATAGTTGAGGATGTCAAACGAACTGAATTCCTCGAAGAAATAGAAGAAAAAATACGACTAGGCTCAACAAGAGAAGAAATAATTGAATACATTGTTATTCAAGAAAGAAGAAGAGGACAAATATTAGGATGGACGACAAACGAAATTATTGAATATATTGAGACACAAGAAAGAATATTAATGGAAGCTGAAGAAAAGGTTGAAGAAGAGAAGGTAATTATAGAGAAAGAAGCAGAAAAAGTAGAAGTTACAAAAGAAGTAGAAGTCAAAGAAGTAGAAGTTGTCAAGGAAGAAGAGATAATGAAAGAAGAAGTGCCTGAAAAGATCAAAGAAATAACTGAAGAAATCCCCGAAAAAGAAGTTCCAAAGAAGGATATTGTAAAAGAAGAAGTCACAGTTGAAGATGTCGCCCGAACTGACTTCCTCAAAGAAATACAAGAAAAAATTAGACTAGGCTCAACAAGAGAAGAAATTATTGAATACATTGTAATACAAGAAAGAAAACGAGGTAAAATATTAGGCTGGAGAACAGAAGAAATAATTGAATATATTGAGACACAAGAGAGAAGAATAAAGGAAGTTGAAGAAGTTACTGAAGAATTAGAAGTAAAGAAAGTAGAAGAGATTGCTAAGAAAGAAGAAGTAAAGGAAGTAGAAGAGATTCCTAAGAAAGAAGAAGTAAAGAAGATGGAAGTGCCTGAAAAGGTAACAGAAGTTACAAAAGTAATCCCTGACAAAGTACCTGAAAAAGAAGTCATAGTTGAGGATGTCAAACGAACTGAATTCCTCGAAGAATTACAAGAAAAAATAAGACTAGGCTTAACAAGAGAAGAAATAATTGAATACATTGTTATTCAAGAAAGAAGAAGAGGACAAATATTAGGATGGACGACAAACGAAATTATTGAATATATTGAGACACAAGAAAGAAGAATAAAGGAAGTTGAAGAAGTTAAAGAAGAGGAAGAAATTGTTGAAAAAGAAGTAGAGAAAGTTGAAGTCACCAAAGAAGAAGTAAAAGAAGAGAAGGTAATTACTGAAAAGGAAGTAGAAAAAGTTGAAGTCACTAAAGAAGAAGTTGAAGTAAAAGAAGTTGAGAAAGTTATCGAGGTAGAAGAGGTGCAGAAAGAAGAAGTGACTGAAAAGGTAACAGAAATTAAAGAAGTTATCCCTGAAAAAGAAGTACCCGAAAAAGAAGTACCAGAAATTAAAGAAGTTAGCCCCCAAAAAGAAGTACCAGAAAAAGAAGTACCTGAAAAAGAGATACCAGAAAAAGAAGTACCAGAAAAAGTAACAGAAAAAGCAGTACCAGAAAAAGCAGTGCCAGAAAAAGTACCAGAAAAAGAAGTGCCAGAAAAAGAAGTGCCAGAAAAAATACCAGAAAAAGAAGTGCCAGAAAAAGAAGTACCAGAAAAAGAAGTATTAGAAAAAGTACCAGAAAAAGAAGTGCCAGAAAAAGTACCAGAAAAAGAAGTGCCAGAAAAAATACCAGAAAAGGAGGTACCAGAAAAAGAAGTGCCAAAGAAAGAAGTATCAGAAAAGATACTAGAAAAAGAAGTACCAGAAAAAGAAGTGCCTGAAAAAGAAGTACCAGAAAAAGAAGTACCTGAAAAAGAGATACCAGAAAAAGAAGTACCTGAAAAGGAAGTACCAGAAAAAATACCAGAAAAAGAAGTATTAGAAAAAGCACCAGAAAAAGAAGTGCCAGTAAAAGTACTAGAAAAAGAAGTACCAGAAGAAAAAGAAGTGCCAGAAAAAGAAGTGCCAGAAAGAATACCAGAAAAAGAAGTGCCAGAAAGAATACCAGAAAAAGAAGTGCCAGAGAAAGAAGTACCAGAAAAGGTATTAGAAAAAGAAGCACCAGAAAAAGAAGTACCAGAAAAAGAAGTACCAGTAAAGGTACTAGAAAAAGAAGTGCCAGAAAAAGAAGTACCTGAAAAAGAAGTACCAGAGAAAGAAGTACCAGAAAAGGTACTAGAAAAAGAAGTACCAGAAAAAGAAGTACCAGAAAAAGAAGTACCAGAAAAAGAAGTACCTGAAAAGGAAGTACCAGAAAAAATACCAGAAAAAGAAGTATTAGAAAAAGCACCAGAAAAAGAAGTGCCAGTAAAAGTACTAGAAAAAGAAGTACCAGAAGAAAAAGAAGTGCCAGAAAAAGAAGTGCCAGAAAGAATACCAGAAAAAGAAGTGCCAGAAAGAATACCAGAAAAAGAAGTGCCAGAGAAAGAAGTACCAGAAAAGGTATTAGAAAAAGAAGCACCAGAAAAAGAAGTACCAGAAAAAGAAGTACCAGTAAAGGTACTAGAAAAAGAAGTGCCAGAAAAAGAAGTACCTGAAAAAGAAGTACCAGAGAAAGAAGTACCAGAAAAGGTACTAGAAAAAGAAGTACCAGAAAAAGAAGTACCTGAAAAAGAAGTACCAGAAAAAGAAGTATTAGAAAAAGTCCCTGAAAAAGAAGTACCAGTAAAGGTACTAGAAAAAGAAGTACCAGTAAAGGTACTAGAAAAAGAAGTACCAGTAAAGGTACTAGAAAAAGAAGTACCAGTAAAGGTACTAGAAAAAGAAGTACCAGAAAAAGAAGTGCCAGAAAAAATACCAGAAAAAGAAGTATTAGAAAAAGTACCTGAAAAAGAAGTACCAGTAAAGGTACTAGAAAAAGAAGTACCAGAAAAAGAAGTACCAGAAAAAGAAGTACCAGAAAAAGAAGTACCAGAAAAAGAAGTACCAGAAAAGAAGTACCAGAAAAAGAAGTACCAGAAAAAGAAGTACCAGGAAAAGAAGTACCAGAAAAAGAAGTGCCAGAAAAAATACCAGAAAAAGAAGTTGCAGTTGAGGAAACGAGACAAACAGAATTCCTTACAGAAGTATGTGAAAGAATACAGTTAGGATGGACAAGGGAAGAAATAATTGAATACATTGAAATCCAGGAAAGTAGAAGAGGTAAAATACTAGGATGGACAAGAGAAGAAATTATTGAATACGTTGAAGTACAAGAAAGAAGACAAAGGGTGGAAGAGGAAGTCTCTGAAGAAGAAAAAGAAATTTCTGAAAGAGAAATTGAAGAAATTGAGGTTTCCAAAGAAGTAGAAGAAAAAGTAGAAGAAATTACCATGATAGAAGAGGTGAAGAAAGTAGAAGTTCCCAAAGAGATAAAAGAAATTAAAGAAGAAATTCCCGAAAAAGAAATACCCAAAGAAGACATTGTTAAAGAAGAATTAATTGTTGAAGATGTCAAACGAACAGAAATCCTTCACGAAATTGTTGAGAGAATAAGACTAGGATGGACAAGAGAAGAAATTATTGAATACATTGAAATTCAAGAAAGCAGAAGAGGAAAAATATTAGGATGGAGAACAGAAGAAATAATCGAATATATTGAGACACAAGAAAGAATATTAATGGAAGCTGAAGAAAAGGTTGAAGAAGAGAAGGTAATTATTGAGAAAGAAGCAGAAAAAGTAGAAGTTACAAAAGAAGTAGAAGTCAAAGAAGTAGAAGAAGTTGTCAAGGAAGAAGAGATAAAGAAAGTAGAAGTGCCTGAAAAGATCAAAGAAATAACTGAAGAAATCCCCGTAAAAGAAGTTCCAAAGAAGGATATTGTAAAAGAAGAAGTCACAGTTGAAGATGTCGCACGAACTGACTTCCTCAAAGAAATACAAGAAAAAATAAGACTAGGCTCAACAAGAGAAGAAATTATTGAATACATTGTAATACAAGAAAGAAAACGAGGTAAAATACTAGGCTGGAGAACAGAAGAAATAATTGAATATATTGAGACACAAGAGAGAAGAATAAAGGAAGTTGAAGAAGTTACTGAAGAATTAGAAGTAAAGAAAGTAGAAGAGATTGCTAAGAAAGAAGAAGTAAAGGAAGTAGAAGAGATTCCCAAGAAAGAAGAAGTAAAGAAGATAGAAGTGCCTGAAAAGGTAACAGAAGTTACAAAATTAATCCCTGACAAAGTACCTGAAAAAGAAGTCATAGTTGAGGATGTCAAACGAACTGAATTCCTCGAAGAATTACAAGAAAAAATAAGACTAGGCTTAACAAGAGAAGAAATAATTGAATACATTGTTATTCAAGAAAGAAGAAGAGGACAAATATTAGGATGGACGACAAACGAAATTATTGAATATATTGAGACACAAGAAAGAAGAATAAAGGAAGTTGAAGTAGAAGAAGTTAAAGAAGAAGAAGAGAAACCAACTGAGTTAGAAGTAAAGAAAGAAGTTACACCAGAAAAAGAAGTAAAGAAAGAAATTACACCAGAAGAAAAAGAAGCTGTACCAGAAATAAAGAAGGAAATTACACCAAAAAAGAAGCAGAAGTTACAATAGAGGAAAAAGAAGTAATTAAAGAAGTTATTTTAGAAAAAGAAGTTACACCAAAAGAAAAAGAAGTTATACCAAAAGTAAAAGAAGTAAAGAAAGAAGTAACACCAGAAAAAGAAGAAGTTATTCCAGAAGTAAAGAAAGAAGTTACACCAGAAAAAGAAGAAGTTATACCAGAAGTTAAAGAAGTAAAGAAGGAAGTTACACCAGAAAAAGAAGTAGAAATTATACCGGAAGTCAAAGAAGTTACAGCAGAAAAAGAAGTTATTCCAGAAGTTAAAGAAGTAAAGAAAGAAGTTACACCAGAAAAAGAAGTTATTCCAGAAGTTAAAGAAGTAAAGAAAGAAGTTACAGCAGAAAAAGAAGTTATTCCAGAAATTAAAGAAGTAAAGAAAGAAGTTTCACCAGAAAAAGAAGCAGAAGTTGTACCAGAGGTTAAAGAAATAAAGAAAGAAGTTACACCAGAAAAAGAAGTCATTCCAGAAGTTAAAGAAGTAAAGAAAGAAGTTACACCAGAAAAAGAAATTATACCAGAAGTAAAGAAAGAAGTTACACCAGAAAAAGAAATTATACCAGAAGTTAAAGAAGTAAAGAAAGAAGTTACACCAGAAAAAGAAGTTATTCCAGAAATTAAAGAAATAAAGAAAGAAGTTACACCAGAAAAAGAAGTTATTCCAGAAATTAAAGAAATAAAGAAAGAAGTTACACCAGAAAAAGAAGTTATTCCAGAAGTTAAAGAAGTAAAGAAAGAAGTTACACCAGAAAAAGAAGTTATTCCAGAAATTAAAGAAATAAAGAAAGAAGTTACACCAGAAAAAGAAGCAGAAGTTGTACCAGAGGTTAAAGAAATAAAGAAAGAAGTTACACCAGAAAAAGAAGTAGAAGTTATTCCTGAAGTAAAGAAAGAAGTTACACCAGAAAAAGAAGTAGAAGTTATACCTGAAGTCAAAGAAGTAAAGAAGGAAATTACACCAGAAAAAGAAGTTATTCCAGAAGTCAAGGAAGTAAAGAAAGAAGTTACACCAGAAAAAGAAGTTATACCAGAAGTTAAAGAAGTAAAGGAAGAAGTTACACCAGAAAAAGAAGTTATACCAGAAGTTAAAGAAGTAAAGAAAGAAGTTACACCAGAAAAAGAAGTTATACCAGAAGTTAAAGAAGTAAAGGAAGAAGTTACACCAGAAAAAGAAGTTATACCAGAAGTTAAAGAAGTAAAAGAAGAAGTTACACCAGAAAAACAAGTTATACCAGAAGTTAAAGAAGTAAAGAAAGAAGTTACACCAGAAAAAGAAGCAGAAGTTGTACCAGAGGTTAAAGAAATAAAGAAAGAAGTTTCACCAGAAAAAGAAGTTATACCAGAAGTAAAGAAAGAAGTTACACCAGAAAAAGAAGTAGAAGTTATTCCTGAAGTAAAGAAAGAAGTTACACCAGAAAAAGAAGTAGAAATTGTACCTGAAGTCAAAGAGGTAAAGAAGGAAATTACACCAGAAAAAGAAGTTATTCCAAAAGTTAAAGAAGTAAAGAAAGAAGTTACACCAGAAAAAGAAGTTATACCAGAAGTTAAAGAAGTAAAGGAAGAAGTTACAACTGAAAAAGAAGTTATACCAGAAGTTAAAGAAGTAAAGAAAGAAGTTACACCAGAAAAAGAAGCAGAAGTTGTACCAGAGGTTAAAGAAATAAAGAAAGAAGTTACACCAGAAAAAGAAGTTATACCAGAAGTTAAAGAAGTATTGAAAGAAGTTACACCAGAAAAAGAAGTTATACCAGAAGTTAAAGAAGTAAAGGAAGAAGTTACACCAGAAAAAGAAGTTATACCAGAAGTTAAAGAAGTAAAAGAAGAAGTTACACCAGAAAAAGAAGTTATACCAGAAGTTAAAGAAGTAAAGAAAGAAGTTACACCAGAAAAAGAAGCAGAAGTTGTACCAGAGGTTAAAGAAATAAAGAAAGAAGTTTCACCAGAAAAAGAAGTTATACCAGAAGTAAAGAAAGAAGTTACACCAGAAAAAGAAGTAGAAGTTATTCCTGAAGTAAAGAAAGAAGTTACACCAGAAAAACAACTTATTCCAGATGTTAAAGAAATAAAGAAAGAAGTTACGCCAGAAAAAGAAGTAGAAGTTACTCCTGAGGTAAAGAAAGAAGTTACACCAGAAAAAGAAGTAGAAGTTACTCCTGAAGTAAAGAAAGAAGTTACACCAGAAAAAGAAGTAGAAGTTATACCTGAAGTTAAAGAAGTAATTGAAGAAGTTATTCCAGAAGTTAAAGAAGTACCGAAAGAAGTTACACCAGAAAAAGAAGCAGAAATTATGCCAGAAGTTAAAGAAATAAAGAAAGAAGTTACACCAGAAGAAATAGTGGTACCAGAAGTAAAGGAAGAAGTTACACCAGAAAAAGAAGTTATGCCAGAAGTAAAGAGAGAAATTAGTCCAGAAAAAGAAGCTATTCCAGAGGTTAAAGAAGTAAAGAAAGAAGTTACACCAGAAAAAGAAGTTATACCAGAAGTTAAAGAAGTAAAGAAAGAAGTTACGCCAGAAAAAGAAGTTATACCGGAAGTGAAGAAAGAAGTTACACCAGAAAAAGAAGTTATACCAGAACAAGTAGTTGTACCAGAAGTTAAGAAAGAAGTTACACCAGAAAAAGAAGTTATGCTAGAATTAAAGGGAGAAGTTACTCTAGAAAAAGAAGCTATTCCAGAAGTTAAAGAAGTAAAGAAAGAAGTTACACCAGAAAAAGAAGCAGAAGTTGTAACAGAAGTTAAAGAAATGAAGAAAGAAGTTACACCAGAGAAAGAAGTTATATCTGAAGTAAAGAAAGAAGTTACACCAGAAAAAGAAGTAGAAGTTGTACCTGAAGTAAAGAAAGAAGTTACCACAGAAAAGAAGTATCAGAAGTTATTCGAATAAAGAAAGAAGTTACACCAGAAAAAGAAGTATTCTCGAAGTTAAAGAAAAGAAGAGTTCACCAGAAAAGAAGTTATTAGAAGTTAATGAATAAAGAAAGAAGTTACACAGAAAAAGAAGTAGAAGTTATCCTGAAGTAAAGAAAGAAGTTACACTAGAAAAAGAAGTATCAGAAGTTAAACTGAAGTAAAGAAAGAAGTTACCATCAGAAAAGAAAGAAGTTATTCCGAAGTTAAAGAAAAGAAGGTTACACCAGAAAAAGAAGTTATTCCAGAAGTTAAGAATAAAGAAAGAAGTTACACCAGAGAAAGAAGTTATTCCAGAAGTTAAAGAAATAAAGAAAGAAGTTACACCAGAAAAAGAAGTAGAAGTTATACCTGAAGTAAAGAAAGAAGTTACTCCAGAAAAAGAAGTAGAAGTTATTCCTGAAGTAAAGAAAGAAGTTACTCCAGAAAAAGAAGTAGAAGTTATACCTGAAGTTAAGAAAGAAGTTACACCAGAAAAAGAAGTAGAAGTTATTCCTGAAGTAAAGAAAGAAGTTACTCCAGAAAAAGAAGTTATTCCAGAAGTTAAAGAAATAAAGAAAGAAGTTACACCAGAAAGAGAAGTTATTCCAGAAGTTAAAGAAATAAAGAAAGAAGTTACACTAGAAAAAGAAGTAGAAGTTATACCTGAAGTAATGAAAGAAGTTACCATAGAAAAAGAAGTAGAAGTTATTCCTGAAGTAAAGAAAGAATTACCACAGAAAAAGAAGTTATAGAAGTTACCAGAATAAAGAAAGAAGTTACACCAGAAAAAGAAGTTATTCCAGAAGTTAAAGAAATAAAGAAAGAAGTTACACCAGAAAAAGAAGTTATTCCAGAAGTTACAGAAATAAAGAAAGAAGTTACACCAGAAAAAGAAGTATTCCAGAAGTTATACTGAATAAAGAAAGAAGTTACCCAGAAAAAGAAGTGAAGTTATTCCTGAAGTAAAGAAAGAAGTTACTCCAGAAAAAGAAGTCGAAGTTATTACCTGAAGTTAAGAAAGAAGTTACCCAGAAAAAGAAGTAGAAGTTATACCTGAAGTAAGAAAGAAGTTACCCAGAAAAAGAAGTAGAAGTTATTCCTGAGTAAAGAAAGAAGTTACTCCAGAAAAAGAAGTAGAAGTTATTCCTGAGTAAAGAAAGAAGTTACTCCAGAAAAAGAAGATTAGAAGTTATTCGAAATAAAGAAAGAAGTTACCCAGAAAAAGAAGTTATTCCAGAAGTTAAAGAAATAAAGAAAGAAGTTACACCAGAAAAAAGTTATTCAGAAGTTACAGAAATAAAGAAAGAAGTTACACCAGAAAAAGAAGTAGAAGTTATACCTGAAGTAAAGAAAGAAGTTACCATAGAAAAAGAAGTAGAAGTTATTCCTGAAGTAAAGAAAGAAGTTACACCAGAAAAAGAAGTTATTCCAGAAGTTAAAGAAATAAAGAAAGAAGTTACACCAGAAAAAGAAGTTATTCCAGAAGTTACAGAAATAAAGAAAGAAGTTACACCAGAAAAAGAAGTTATTCCAGAAGTTAAAGAAATAAAGAAAGAAGTTACACCAGAAAAAGAAGTAGAAGTTATACCTGAAGTAAAGAAAGAAGTTACTCCAGAAAAAGAAGTCGAAGTTATTCCTGAAGTAAAGAAAGAAGTTACTCCAGAAAAAGAAGTAGAAGTTATACCTGAAGTAAAGAAAGAAGTTACTCCAGAAAAAGAAGTCGAAGTTATTCCTGAAGTAAAGAAAGAAGTTACACCTGAAAAAGAAGTTATTCCAGAAGTTAAAGAAGTAAAGAAGAAGTTACACCAGAGAAAGAAATTATTCCAGAAGTTAAAGAAATAAAGAAAGAAGTTACACCAGAAAAAGAAGTTATTCCAGAAGTTAAAGAAGTAAAGAAAGAAGTTACACCAGAGAAAGAAGTTGTTCCAGAAGTTAAAGCAGTAAAGAAAGAAGTTACTCTAGAAAGAGAAGTAGAAGTTATTCCTGAAGTAAAGAAAGAAGTTACTCCAGAAAAAGAAGTAGAAGTTATACCTGAAGTTAAGAAAGAAGTTACACCAGAAAAAGAAGTAGAAGTTATTCCTGAAGTAAAGAAAGAAGTTACTCCAGAAAAAGAAGTAGAAGTTATTCCTGAAGTAAAGAAAGAAGTTACTCCAGAAAAAGAAGTAGAAGTTATTCCTGAAATAAAGACAGAAGTTACTCCAGAAAAAGAAGTAGAAGTTATACCTGAAGTTAAGAAAGAAGTTACACCAGAAAAAGAAGTAGAAGTTACTCCTGAAGTAAAGAAAGAAGTTACTCTAGAAAAAGAAGAAGTTATTAGTGAAGTAAAGAAAGAAGTTACCCCTGAAAAACAAGTAGAAGTTATTCCTGAAGTAAAGAAAGAAGTTACACCAGAAAAAGAAGTTATTCCAGAAGTTAAAGAAGTAAAGAAAGAAGTTACACCAGAGAAAGAAGTTATTCCAGAAGTTAAAGAAATAAAGAAAGAAGTTACACCAGAAAAAGAAGTAGAAGTTATACCTGAAGTAAAGAAAGAAGTTACCCCAGAAAAAGAAACAGAAGTTATTCCTGAAGTTAAGAAAGAAGTTACACCAGAAAAAGAAGTTATTGCAGAAGTTAAAGAAGTAAAGAAAGAAGTTACACCAGAAAAAGAAGTTATTTCAGAAGTTAAAGAAGTAAAGAAAGAAGTTACACCAGAAAAAGAAGTTATTCCAGAAGTTAAAGAAGTAAAGAAAGAAGTTACACCTGAAAAAGAAGTAGAAGTTATTCCTGAAGTAAAGAAAGAAGTTACACCAGAAAAAGAAGTTATTCCAGAAGTTAAAGAAGTAAAGAAAGAAGTTACACCAGAAAAAGAAGTTATTCCAGAAGTTAAAGAAGTAAAGAAAGAAGTTACACCAGAAAAAGAAGTTATTCCAGAAGTTAAAGAAGTAAAGAAAGAAGTTACACCAGAAAAAGAAGTTATTCCAGAAGTTAAAGAAGTAAAGAAAGAAGTTACACCAGAAAAAGAAGTAGAAGTTATTCCTGAAGTAAAGAAAGAAGTTACTCCAGAAAAAGAAGTTATTCCAGAAGTTAAAGAAGTAAAGAAAGAAGTTACACCAGAAAAAGAAGTTATTCCAGAAGTTAAAGAAGTAAAAAAAGAAGTTACACCAGAAAAAGAAGTAGAAGTTACTCCTGAAGTAAAGAAAGAAGTTACTCCAGAAAAAGAAGTTATTCCAGAAGTTAAAGAAGTAAAGAAAGAAGTTACACCAGAGAAAGAAGTTATTCCAGAAGTTAAAGAAATAAAGAAAGAAGTTACACCAGAAAAAGAAGTAGAAGTTATTCCTGAAGTAAAGAAGGAAGTTACACCAGAAAAAGAAGTAGAAGTTATTCCTGAAGTAAAGAAGGAAGTTACACCCGAAAAAGAAGTAGAAGTTATACCTGAAGTAAAGAAAGAAGTTACTCCAGTAAAAGAAGTAGAAGTTATTCCAGTAGTTAAAGAAGTAAAGAAGGAGGTTACACCAGAAAAAGAAGTAAAAGAAATTACACCAGATAAAGAAATTAAAGAAGTTAAACCAGAAAAGGAAGTAAAGAAACTCGAAGAGCTTCCTAAAGAAGTTAAAGAAATTACCGAGAAAGAAATTCCCGACGAAGACATCATTAAAGAAGTCCCACCATCAGAAGTGAAAAAAGAAGTGGAATTAAAGAAGGAGGAGATAAGAGAGAAGGAAGAAATAGCTGAAGACATCAGTAAGACAATAATAACAGAAACAGAGACACTTTTGAAACGAACAGAAATAATAGAAGAAATTGTTGAAAGAATAAGATTAGGATGGACAAGGGAGGAAATAATTGAATACATTGAAATACAAGAAAAAAGAAGAGGAAAAATATTGGGCTGGACGAGAGAAGAAATTATTGAATATATTGAAGCACAAGAAAGGGAAATTGAAGAGAAACCTGAAGAAGAAATTCCAAAAGAAGAAAAGGAAATTTTTGAAAAGGAAATAAAGAAGGTAGAAGTTACACCCGAAGAAAAAGAAGTAAAGGAAGTTACACCCGAACTAAAAGAGGAAAAGGAACTTGTAGTGGAAATAAAAGAAGTCAAAGAGGAAGAAATTCTCAAAGTAAAAGAGCCTATTGAAAAAGAAGTCAAAGAAGTTGAAGTTCCCAAAGAAGAAAAAGAAGAAGTTGAAAAAGAAGTCAAAGAAGTGGAGGTGCCTAAAGAAGTAAAGGAATCAGCAGAAAAAGAAGTAAAAGAAGTTGAAGTTCTTAAAGAAGTCAAAGAACCAGTTGAAAAAGAAATTGAAGTACCTAAAGAGGAAAAAGAAGTTGAAGTTCCCAAAGAAGTTGAAGTCCAAGAAGTTGAAGTTCCCAAAGAAGTTGAAATTCCCAAAGAAGAAAAGGAACCAGTTGAAAAGGAAGTCAAAGAAGTTGAAGTTCCCAAAGAAGTAAAGGAACAAGTTGAAAAAGAAGTTGAAGTTCCCAAAGAAGTTGAAATTCCCAAAGAAGAAAAGGAACCAGTTGAAAAGGAAGTCAAAGAAGTTGAAGTTCCCCAAAAAGTTGAAATTCCCAAAGAAGACAAAGAACCAGTTGAAAAGGAAGTCAAAGAAGTTGAAGTTCCCAAAGAAGTAAAAGAAGTTGAAGTTCCCAAAGAAGTAAAAGAAGTTGAAGTTCCCGAAAAAGTAAAAGAACCAGTTGAAAAGGAAGTCACAGAAGTTGAAGTTCTCAAAGAAGTAAAAGAAGTTGAAGTTCCCAAAGAAGTAAAAGAACAAGTTGAAAAAGAAGTCAAAGAAGTTGAAATCCCAAAAGAAATCAAAGAAGCTGAGCTTCCCAAAGAAGTTGAAATTCCTAAAGAAGAAAAGGAACCAGTTAAAAAGGTAGTCAAAGAAGTTGAAGTTCCCAAAGAAGTTGAAGTTCCCAAAGAAGTTGAAATTCCCAAAGAAGAAAAGATACCAGTTGAAAAGGAAGTCAAAGAAGTTGAAGTTCCCAAAGAAGTTGAAGTTCCCAAAGAAGTTGAAATTCCCAAAGAAGAAAAGATACCAGTTGAAAAGGAAGTCAAAGAAGTTGAAGTTCCCAAAGAAGTAAAAGAAGTTGAAGTTCCCAAAGAAGTCGAAGTTCCCCAAAAAAGTTGAAATTTTCCAAAAAAGAAAAGAACCCGTTTTAAAAAGAAGTCAAAGAAGTTGAAGTTCCCCAAAAAAAGAAAAGAAGCTGAATTCCCCAAAAAAGTTGAAGGTTTCCCAAAGAAGAAAAGGAAAACGTTTAAAAGGGAATTTAAAGAAGTTGAAATTCCCAAAGAACTAAAAAAGCTGAAGTTCCCAAAAAAGTAAAGGAAGTTTAAGTTCAAAAGAATCGAAAATTCCCCAAAACAAAGAAATGAAGTTTTCCAAAAAAGTAAAGGAACTTTTGAAAAAAGTCAAAAAAACAGAAGTTCCCGGGGAAAAGTAAAGAAACTAGTTAAAAAAAATCAAAAAGTAGAAAATTCTCAAGAAGTTGAAAATTCCCAAAGAAGTAAAGGAAACCCAAAAAAAAAGAAGTCAAAGTAGTTAAGTTTCCCAAAAAAGTCAAGAAGTTTAAAATTCCCCCAAAGAAATCAAAGAAGTTGAAATTCCCAAAGAAGTCAAAAAAAGTTGAAATTCCCAAAAAACGAAATTTCCCCAAAAAAGTCAAAGAAGTTGAAAAATTCCCAAAAAAATCAAAGAAGATGAAGTTCCCAGAGAATCAAGTTCCCAAAGAAGTAAAAGGGAATAAATGAAAAAGAAGACAAAGAAATCGAAGTTCCCCAAATAAAAAGGAAACCCTTGCTACAGAATTAAAAGAGTTGAAGTTCCCAAAGAAATCAAAAAGATGAAGGTTCCCAAAGTAGTCGAAGCCCAAAAAAGTAGAGGAAACCCGTTGAAAAGAAGTTGAAGTTCCCCAAAAAAAGTAAAGAAACCCCGTTGAAAAAAAGTCAAAGAAAACGAAGTTTTAAAGAATCAAAAAAAGTTGAAGCTCCCAAAAAAGTCAAAATTTTAAATTTCCCAAAAAAGTAAAAGGGAACTTTTAAAAAAAATCAAAGAATAGAAATTCCCAAAGAAGTCAAGGAAAAAGTTGAGAAAGAAGTCAAAAAAGTGAAGTTCCAAAGAAGTCAAGGAACCCGTTGAGAAAAAAAGTTTAAAAAAGTAGAAATTCCAAAAGCAAAAAAAATTGAAGTTTCCAAAAAAGTAAAAGGAACCAATTGAAAAAGAAATTTAAAGAAATCAAGTTCCCCAAAAAAGTTAAAGAATTGAAGTCCCAAAAAAAGTAAAGAAACATTTTGGAAAAAAAAAGCCAAAGAAGTTGGGTTCCCAAAATGTTGAAGTTCCTGAAGAAAAATTAAAAAATTTTAAAATTTTCCCAAAAAAAATAAAGAAACCAGTTTTAAAAGAAGTTGAAGTTTTCCCAAAAAGTCAAAGAAATTGAAGTTTCCCAAAAAAAGTCAAAAAAGTTGAATTTATAAAAAAAATAAAGGAACCCAATTTAAAAAAAAGCCAAGAAATTGAAATTTCCCCAAAAAAAAATCAAAAAGCGAAGTTTCAAAAGAAGTCAAAGAAGTTGAAGTTCCCAAAGAAGTCAAAGAAGATGAAGTTCCTAAAGAAGTAAAGGAACCAGTTGAAAAAGAAGTCAAAGAAGTAGAAGTTCCCAAAGAAGTCAAAGAAATTGAAGTTCCCAAAGAAGTAAAGGTACCACTTGAAAAAGAAGTTAAAGAAGCTGAAGTTCCCAAAGAAGTTAAAGAGGTTGAGGTTCCCAAAGAAGTCAAAGAAGATGAAGTTCCAAAAGAAGTAAAAGAAGTTGAACTTCCTGGAGAAGTAAAGGAACCAATTGTAAAAGAAGTCAAGGAAGTAGAAGTTCCCAAAGAAGTAAAGGAACCAGTTGAAAAAGAAGTCAAAGAAGTTGAACTTACCAAAGAAGTCAAAGAAGCTGAAGTTTCTAAAGAAGTTGTAGTTCTCAAAGAAACCGAAGTTTCCAAAGAAATCAAAGAAATTGAAGTTCCAAAAGAAGTAAAGGAACCAGTTGTAAAAGAAATCAAAGAAGTTGAAGTTCCTAAAGAAGTTGTACTTCCCAAAGAAGTTGACGTTCCCAAAGAAGTCAGAGAAGATGAAGTTCCCAAAGAAGTTGCAGTTCCCAAAGAAGCTGCAGTTCCCAAAGAAGCTGCAGTTCCCAAAGAAGTCAAAGAAACTGAAGTTCCCAAACAAGAAGAGGAACCAACTGAAAAAGAAGTCAAAGAAATAGAAGTTCCCAAACAAGTTCCGAAAGAAATCAAAGAAGCTGAAATTCCCAAAGAAGTAAAGGAACCAGTTGAAAAAGAAGTCAAAGAAGTGGAAGTTTCCAAAGAAGTAAAAGAAGTTGAAGTTCCCACAGAAGTAAAGGAAGTTCCAGTTCCAAAAGAAGTCGAAGTTACCAAAGTCGAAGAAGCTGAAGTTCTCAAAGAAGTCGAAGTTCCCAAAGAAGTAAAAGAAGATGAAGTTCCCAAAGAAGTAAAAGAAGTCGAAGTTCCCAAAGAAGTAAAGGAACCTGTTGGAAAAGAAGTCAAAGAAGTTGAAGTTCCTAAAGAAGTTGCCAAAGAAGTCAAAGATGTTGAAGTTCCCAAAGAAGCTGAAGTTCCCAAAGAAGTAAAGGAACCAACTAAAGAAGAAGTCAAAGAAGTTGAAGTTCTCAAAAAAGTAAAGGAACCAGTTGAAAAAGAAGTCAAAGAAATTGAAGTTCTCAAAGAAGAAAAGGAACCAGTTGAAAAAGAAGTCAAAGAAGTTGAACTCCCCAAAGAAGCAAAGGAACCAGTTCAAAAAGAAGTTGAAGTTCCCAAAGAAATAAAGGAGCCAGTTGAAAAAGAAATTGAAGTTCCTGAAGAAGTTAAAGAACCAGTTGAAAAAGAAGTGAAAGTCGTAGAAGCTCCCAAAGAAGTTAAAGAAACAGTTGAAAAAGAAGTTGAAGTTCCCAAAGAACTAAAAGTGCTAGTTGAAAAAGAAGTCAAAGAAGATGAAGCAGTCAAAGAAATAAAGAAACCAGTTGAGAAAGAAGTCAAAGAAGTTGAAGTCACCAAAGAAGTCAAAGAAACTGTTGAAAAAGAAGTGAAAGAAGTTGAAGTTCATAAAGAAGTTAGAGAACCTATTGAAATATTGCCTAAATCACCAAAAGAGGAAGAATTAAAGGTAATTGTAACCGAGGAATTAATAGAAAAAGTGGAAATTGCTAAGGATGATAGTAAAACATTGATTGCTGAAACAGAGAAACTCATAAAGCGAACAGAAATTATTGAAGAAATTGAAGAAAGAATACGATTAGGTTGGACAATGGAGGAAATAATTGAATATATTGAAATTCAAGAAAGCAGAAGAGGAAAGATATTAGGATGGACCAGAGAAGAAATCATTGAATATATTGTAATAAAAGAAAGAGAATTTGCTGAAGAAGAAATCAAGAAAGCAGATGAGTTAAAGACAGAGGAAATGGGCAAAATTACCCGAGAAATCACCGAGAGAGTTCTTGAACCTGAGGTTCTCAAATACAAATTACCCACCAGAGAGAGAGAAACAGATGAACTGGAAGAGGAGACAGTAGAGGTCACTAAGACTCTGGTAACAGAAATTGAGACACTTGTCAAACGTACAGAAATTATTGAAGAAATTGAAGAAAGGATTCGACTAGGGTGGACAAGAGAGGAGATAATTGAATACATTGAAATTCAAGAAAGTAGAAGAGGAAGAATCCTGGGATGGACGAGAGAAGAAATTATTGAATACATTGTAACATACGAAAGGAAATTGAAAGAGGAAGAGAAAGTGAGAGAGGAAGAGGAGAAAGTGACCGAGAAAGAAGTAAAGGTACTAGAAGTTACACCAGAAGACAAAGAAGTAAAAGAAGTTACTCCAGAAGCAAAAGAAGTTACTCCAGAAGTAAAGGAAGTTACTCCAGAAGTAAAAGAAGTTACTCCAGAAGTAAAAGAAGTTACTCCAGAAGTAAAAGAAGTTACTCTAGAAGTAAAAGAAGTTACTCCAGAAGTAAAAGAAGTTACTCCAAAAGTAAAAGAAGTGAAGGCAGTTACACCAGAAGAAAAAGAAGTAAAGGAAGAAGTCACACCAGAAAAAGAAGATGAGAAAATGAGACCTACACCAGAAGAAAAAGAAAAACTGAAATTAAAGATTACGCCAGAAAAAGAAGTAAAGGAAGAAGTTACACCTGAGAAAGAAGTACCCAAAGAAGTTACACCAGAAAAAGTAGTGAAAGAAGTTACACCAGTAAAAGAAGAGGCCAAAGAAGTTACACCAGAAAAAGAAGTAGCCAAAGAAGTTACACCAGAAAAGGAAGTTGTGAAAGAAGTTACACCAGAAAAAGAAATAGTGAAAGAAGTAACACCTGAAAAAGAAGTTGTGAAAGAAGTAACACCTGAAAAAGAAGTTGTGAAAGAAGTAACACCTGAAAAAGAAGTAGCCAAAGAAGTTACACCAGAAAAAGAAGTTGTTAAAGAAGTTACACCAGAAAAAGAAGTAGCCAAAGAAGTTACACCAGAAAAAGAAGTAGCCAAAGAAGTTTCTCCAGAAAAAGAAGTTGTGAAAGAAGTTACACCAGAAAAAGAAGTAGCCAAAGAAGTTACACCAGAAAAAGAAGTAGCCAAAGAAGTTTCTCCAGAAAAAGAAGTTGTGAAAGAAGTTACACCAGAAAAAGAAGTAGCCAAAGAAGTTACACCAGAAAAAGAAGTAGCCAAAGAAGTTTCTCCAGAAAAAGAAGTTGTGAAAGAAGTTACACCAGAAAAAGAAGTAATCAAAGAAGTTGCACCAGAAAAAGAAGTTGTGAAAGAAGTTACACCAGAAAAAGAAGTTGTGAAAGAAGTTACACCAGAAAAAGAAGTTGTGAAAGAAGTTACACCAGAAAAAGAAGTTGTGAAAGAAATTACACAAGAAAAACAAGTTGTGAAAGAAGTTACACCAGAAAAAGAAGTTGCGAAAGAAGTTACACCAGAAAAAGAAGTTATGAAAGAAGTTACACCAGAAAAGGAAGTTGCGAAAGAAGTTACACCAGAAAAAGAAGTTGTGAAAGAAGTTTCCCCAGAAAAAGAAGTAGCCAAAGAAGTTACACCAGAAAAAGAAGTTGTGAAAGAAGTTACACCAGAAAAAGAAGTTGTGAAAGAAGTTTCCCCAGAAAAAGAAGTAGCCAAAGAAGTTACACCGGAAAAAGAAGTTGTGAAAGAAGTTACACCAGAAAAAGTTGTGAAAGAAGTTACACCAGAAAAGAAGTTGTGAAAGAAGTTACACCAGAAGAAGAAGTTGTGAAAGAAGTTACACCAGAAAAAGAAGTAGCCAAAGAAGTTTCCCCAGAAAAAGAAGTAGCCAAAGAAGTTACACCAGAAAAAGAAGTTGTGAAAGAAGTTTCCCCAGAAAAAGAAGTAGCCAAAGAAGTTTCCCCAGAAAAAGAAGTAGCCAAAGAAGTTACACCAGAAAAAGAAGTTGTGAAAGAAGTTTCCCCAGAAAAAGAAGTAGCCAAAGAAGTTACACCAGAAAAAGAAGTAGCCAAAGAAGTTACTCCAGAAAAAGAAGTTGTGAAAGAAATTACACCAAAAAAAGAAGTTGTGAAAGAAGTTACACCAGAAAAAGAAGTTGTGAAAGAAGTTACACCAGAAAAAGAAGTTATGAAAGAAGTTACACCAGAAAAAGAAGTTGTGAAAGAAGTTACACCAGAAAAGGAAGTTGTGAAAGAAGTAACACCTGAAAAAGTTGTGAAAGAAGTTACACCAGAAAAAGAAGTTGTGAAAGAAGTTTCCCCAGAAAAAGAAGTAGCCAAAGAAGTTTCCCCAGAAAAAGAAGTAACCAAAGAAGTTACACCAGAAAAAGAAGTTGTGAAAGAAGTTACACCAGAAAAAGAAGTTGTGAAAGAAGTTTCCCCAGAAAAAGAAGTAGCCAAAGAAGTTACACCAGAAAAAGATGTTGTGAAAGAAATTACACCAGAAAAAGAAGTTGTGAAAGAAGTTACACCAGAAAAAGAAGTTGTGAAAGAAGTTACACCAGAAAAAGTAGCCAAAGAAGTTACACCAGAAAAAGAAGTAGCCAAAGAAGTTACTCCAGAAAAAGAAGTAGCCAAAGAAGTTACTCCAGAAAAAGAAGTTGTGAAAGAAGTTACACCTGAAAAAGAAGTTGTAAAAGAAGTTACACCAGAAAAAGAAGTAGCTAAAGAAGTTACTCCAGAAAAAGAAGTTGTGAAAGAAGTTACACCTGAAAAAGAAGTTGTAAAAGAAGTTACACCAGAAAAAGAAGTAGCCAAAGAAGTTACTCCAGAAAAAGAAGTTGTGAAAGAAGTTACACCTGAAAAAGAAGTTGTAAAAGAAGTTACACCAGAAAAAGAAGTAGCCAAAGAAGTTACTCCAGAAAAAGAAGTTGTGAAAGAAGTTACACCTGAAAAAGAAGTTGTAAAAGAAGTTACACCAGAAAAAGAAGCAGTGAAAGAAGTCTCACCAGAAAAAGAAGCAGTGAAAGAAGTTTCACCTGAAGAAAAAGAAGTCAAGAAGGGTGTAACTGAGTTGATTGCTGTAACGAAGATGATTACAGAAATTTCCGAGGTATATAAAGAAGAGGCAGTGACCGAGGTACACAAAGAAGCAGTGACCGAGGTACACAAAGAAGAGGCAGTGACCGAAGCCTTAACTGTCGACGTAACAGGAGAGACAGTGGACACTATTCTCTCTTTATCACCCAAAAGTGACATCTCAGTTAGTGCCAAGAGTGATGTCAGCACCAGAGACATCGCCGAAGTTCCACGTGACATTACGAAAGAGATCGAGGAAGTGGTGGAAGTGGAAAGAAAGAAACTCGTGCTTCAGATTAGTACTGTAAGTGTTACAGACGTTCTTGACAAAGATGAGAAAGTTGTTGTATCCCCTAGTGACTTAAGTATTGGTAGTGAGGTTAGCATTACAGACAAAGAAGGCCTCGTAACTGCAGAAGCTGAACTAACTAAAGCTCCTGAATCTCCAAAGAGCGACATATGTGAGAGCGTGAAGAGCGGTGTGAGTGCTAGAAGCGACATCAGTGAGAGAAAACTAGAAGATAGATCCATAGAACTAGAAGATATTTCTAAGGCATCAGAAGCCGCCCCTGTCTCCCCTAAGAGTGATATTTCAGTCAGTGCCAAGACTGATGTTAGTCAGGCGTCTGAGATAAGTGAGAGGAGAGTAGAAGCCACAAAAGAAATACCTCTTAAGGTCGATATTATCCAAGATTTACCTGTTAGTTTTATAACAGAGGATATTACCGTTAAGGATATTACAGAGGTTACCAAAGAAGTGAAAACAGAGAAGAAATCAGAGGAAGAAGTTTCTCTGTCACCCAAGAGTGACATCTCCGTCAGTGTAAAGAGTGATGTCAGTTCAAAGGAAGCAAAGGAAGATATATCAAAGAAATCGATAGAAGAAGCACCAGTTTCTCCAAAGAGTGACATCTCTGTGAGTGCAAAGAGTGATGTCAGTTCTAAGGAAGTAAAGGAGGACATTCTAACAATTGATGTCACTAAAAAATCTATTGAAGAAGCTCCTATTTCTCCTACGAGTGACATCTCTGTGAGTGCAAAGAGTGATGTTAGCTCAAAGGAAGCAAAGGAAGATATATCAAAGAAATCCACAGAAGAAGCCCCACTTTCTCCAAAGAGTGACATCTCCGTCAGTGCAAGGAGTGACATCTCTGTGAGTGCAAAGAGTGAAGTCAGTGCAAAGGATACTAAAGAGGATATGCTAAAAATTGACATCACTAAAGAACCCAAAGAAGAAATTCCACTTTCTCCAAAGAGTGACATCTCTGTGAGTGCAAAGAGTGACATCAGCTCAAAGAGTGCTAAAGAATCTGTTAGCAAAGTCGAAGAAGTGCCTTTATCACCTAAGAGTGACATTTCTGTTAGCATAAAGAGCGATGTCAGCTCAAAGAAGGAAGAACTTAAAGTAGATGTCAGTAAGAAAGAGCCAGAAGAAGTGCCTGAATCTCCCAAGAGTGACTTAGCTCCAAGTATTAAGAGTGAACCAAGTTCAAAGAAATCTGTCGATGAAGCTCCCTTGTCTCCTAAGAGTGACATCTCTGTAAGTGCAAAGAGTGACGTCTCTGTCAGTGCAAAGAGTGATGTCAGTTCTAAAGAAGTTAAAGAGGACATCCTAACAATTGACATCACTAAAAAACCTACTGAAGAGGCACCAGCTTCTCCTAAGAGTGACATCTCTGTGAGTGCAAAGAGTGACATCTCTGTCAGTGCAAAGAGTGAAGTCAGTTCAAAGGAGGCCAAAGAAGGCATTCTTGAAGCTGATGTCACTAAAAAACCATCTGTAGAAGAACCAGTTTCACCTAAGAGTGACATCTCTGTTAGTGCCAAGAGCGACGTCAGTTCAAAGGAGGCTAAAGAAGGCTTGCTGATAATTGATATTACAGAAAAACCAACCGAAGAAGCACCAGTTTCTCCGATCAGTGACATCTCGATCAGTGCAAAGAGTGACATCTCCGTCAGTGCGAAGAGTGATGTTAGTTCAAAGGAAGCAAAGAAATCAGCAGAAGAGGCTCCACTTTCCCCTAAAAGTGACATCTCTGTTAGTGCCAAGAGCGATGTCAGCTCTAAGGAGGCCAAAGAAGGTTTACTAATAATTGATGTCACAGAAAAACCAACTGAAGAAGCCACACTTTCTCCTAAGAGTGACATCTCTGTGAGTGCAAAGAGTGATATCAGCTCTAAGGAAGTAAAGGAAGACATCATATCAATTGATGTAACTAAAAAATCTCTTGAAGAAGCTCCAGTTTCTCCAAAGAGTGACATCTCTGTAAGTGCAAAGAGTGACATCTCTGTCAGTGCAAAGAGTGATGTCAGCTCAAAAGAAGCAAAGGAAGATATATCAAAGAAATCCACAGAAGAAGCCCCACTTTCTCCAAAGAGTGACATCTCCATCAGTGCAAAGAGTGACATCTCTGTGAGTGCAAAGAGTGAAGTCAGTGCAAAGGATACTAAAGAGGATATGCTAAAAATTGACATCACTAAAGAACCCAAAGAAGAAATTCCACTTTCTCCAAAGAGTGACATCTCTGTGAGTGCGAAGAGTGACATCAGCTCAAAGAGTGCTAAAGAATCTGTCAGCAAAGTCGAAGAAGTGCCTTTATCACCTAAGAGTGACATTTCTGTTAGCATAAAGAGCGATGTCAGCTCAAAGAAGGAAGAACTTAAAGTAGATGTCAGTAAGAAAGAGCCAGAAGAAGTGCCTGAATCTCCCAAGAGTGACTTAGCTCCAAGTATTAAGAGTGAACCAAGTTCAAAGAAATCTGTCGATGAAGCTCCCTTGTCTCCTAAGAGTGACATCTCTGTCAGTGCAAAGAGTGATGTCTCTGTCAGTGCAAAGAGTGAAGTCAGTTCAAAGGAAGCAAAGGAAGATATATCAAAGAAATCGATAGAAGAGGCCCCAATTTCTCCTACGAGTGACGTCTCTGTGAGTGCAAAGAGTGATGTCAGTTCTAAAGAAGCTAAGGAGGACATCCTAACAATTGACATCACTAAAGTACCTACTGAAGAAGCACCAGTTTCTCCTAAGAGTGACATCTCTGTGAGTGCAAAGAGTGACATCTCTGTCAGTGCAAAGAGTGATGTCAGTTCAAAAGAAGCAAAGGAAGATTTATCAAAGAAATCGATAGAAGAAGCCCCAGTTTCTCCTAAGAGTGATATCTCTGTGAGTGCAAAGAGTGAAGTCAGTTCTAAGGATATTAAGGAGGACATCCTAACAATTGGCATCACTAAAAAGCCTACTGAAGAAGCACCAGTTTCTCCTAAGAGTGACATCTCTGTGAGTGCAAAGAGTGATGTTAGTTCAAAGGAAGCAAAGAAATCAGAAGAAGCCCCACTTTCTCCAAGGAGTGACATCTCTGTGAGTGCAAAGAGTGATGTCAGTTCTAAGGAAGCAAAGGAAGATCTATCAAAGAAATCGATGGAAGAGGCCCCAGTTTCTCCGAGGAGTGACATCTCTGTGAGTGTAAAGAGTGATGTCAGTTCTAAGGAAGCGAAGAAATCAGAAGAAGCCCCACTTTCTCCAAGGAGTGACATCTCTGTGAGTGCAAAGAGTGATGTCAGTTCTAAGGAAGCAAAGGAAGATCTATCAAAGAAATCGATGGAAGAGGCCCCAGTTTCTCCTAGGAGTGACATCTCTGTGAGTGCAAAGAGTGATGTCAGTTCTAAGGAAGCGAAGAAATCAGAAGAAGCCCCACTTTCTCCAAGGAGTGACATCTCTGTGAGTGCAAAGAGTGATGTCAGTTCTAAGGAAGCAAAGGAAGATCTGTCAAAGAAATCGATGGAAGAGGCCCCAGTTTCTCCTAGGAGTGACATCTCTGTGAGTGCAAAGAGTGATGTCAGTTCTAAGGAAGCGAAGAAATCAGAAGAAGCCCCACTTTCTCCAAGGAGTGACATCTCTGTGAGCGCAAAGAGTGATGTCAGTTCTAAGGAAGCAAAGGAAGATCTATCAAAGAAATCGATGGAAGAGGCCCCAGTTTCTCCTAGGAGTGACATCTCTGTGAGTGCAAAGAGTGATGTCAGTTCTAAAGAAGCGAAGAAATCAGAAGAAGCCCCACTTTCTCCAAGGAGTGACATCTCTGTGAGTGCAAAGAGTGATGTCAGTTCAAAGGAAATCAAGGATCAAATTCCTGTACTGGAGAAGCCACTGGATCGCATGGTATCTCCAGGTAGTTATGTCTCCGTCAGTATGAGAAGTCACATTGTTCGTGCAGATTTCATGGAAACTTTAACTATTGATGTCCCAAAAGAACCTGTTGAAGCAGTGAGCCTCTCTCCAAAGAGTGATGTTTCCACTAGTATAAGTGATATCAGCTCTAAGGAACCTCAAGAGGGTATCTTGAAGATTGATGTATCTAAGAAAACACTGGAAGAAGTCCCTGTCTCTCCCAAGAGTGATGTCTCTGTTAGCATTAAGAGTGACATTAGCTCGAAGAGTAAAGCCGAAGAGGCCCTTGTTTCTCCACGAAGTGATGTTTCTATCAGCGTGAAGAGTGATGTGAGTTCAGTAAGCATTAAGAAGGAAGAACTTGCAATAGACATTACCAAGGAAAAAGTACCAAAATCTCCAGAGAGTGACGTTGCATCTAGTGTCAAGAGTGAGCCTAGCTCGAAGGATGTCTCTAAGAAATTACCCGAGGAAGCTCCTACATCTCCTAAGAGCGATATTTCTGTTAGTGAGAAGAGTGAAATTAGCAGAAAGAGTGATATAAGCCGGAAGAGTGATGTAAGTGCAAAGAGTGATGTCGCTCCCAAAGTAGATATTACTTCAGAAAAAGAAGAAGAGCCAAGAACCTACCCAGAATCAAGAGTTGTGGAAGAACCTGTTTACAGAATCCTAAAGGAAGAACGAGCTGAGCTTGTTACGGTCTCTCCCGACACAACTCCTGGCTCAACACCTCTCTCACCTACTGCTCGTGAGATAGGCTTAGCTGGAATCTCTCTTGTGTCAACACTACAGAAAGATCAACTGGATCTCATGACATCCTCTATTTATGAGGAATCTACGTCCACTCTTAAATCAGCACCTGAGGATATGCCTGATGTCAGCCAGTCCAAGGAGCTTGAACCTGAAAGAGATATGATGACTACGTCTGTGCACAGAGAATATGATGCAATGACGACTTCCATTTATGAACCAAGCCAAGATATTATGATGTCTTCCATGTACGGAGATGATTTTGCTTTGCACGAAGAGCACATTACAACATCCGAGGAGGAATCAACTACTGTGGCCTTTACTAGAGTTAAGAAAACCGAAGATATTATGTCAACTTCTGTGTATGGCAGCCTTGATGATCGGGAATATGATGAAAGCATTTTGAAGTCTGTTGATGATATGACATCTCCTCGCAGTGTTACATTTGGAAAGACCCTTGAGGTGGCTGTTGACGATAGTGAACCACCGCGAGTGTCAGAACCAGATATCGAGAGCTATCCTCCAATTTCCCCCCGAAGTGATCTCTCCTCTGGAGTGTATCACATGACTTCCATTTCTCCTCGTAGCGATGGGTATGAAGCTGAGTTAAGTGGTCAGTTTGAGGAACGTGATGATGACCAGGCGCCATCGTCTCCCCGTTCAGACATCTCGTCGATATCAGATATCGTTCGCAGGGAACAGAAACAGTCCATAATGGACAAGATAGTGAAGGAGACGACAATGATTCATCGAGAAGTCCTAGACAGTGGTCGCTCTGTTTCACCCAAGAGTGACACCACTGTGAGTGACGTTGCAGCGAAGGATGGCCTCGATTCTCTTGAGTCCTTCAAGCTACAACCAGTCTTAGGCATTGACAAAGAAGCTGACGAAGGAAAGCCACTTTCTCCACGAAGTGACATCTCTGGAAAAGATTCTGCCTTTGATGAGAGAGACAAACTCTCTAGCCTTGAAAGTCAAATACTGTCTTCTCTACCAAGTGAAACCAAAGTAACCGAATTTGAAGTATCTAAATATTCAGCTGTATCTGAGGAAATCCGCAAGTCAGAAATTAGTGAAATTGTTCATGAAAAATCCTCCGTAACAGAAACGAGATTGTTGAAAGAAATATCAACCGAAGACAAAACTATAAAAGTGTCTGAAACTGTTAGTGAAAGCACAAAGGGTGACAGCACTACGGTGATGTCAGGATTATTGACTAGTGTAGTTAGTACATTTGATAGCACAAAAACCATCATTGACGTATCAAAAGATTTGTACCGAAGCACAAAGACAGAAACCACTGACGAAACCATTACTAAAGCACCTAAGGAGCCCTCAAAACCGACAGCTGAAATAACGCCAGAGGAAGAGAGCTCCCTAAGCTTTAGGAAGGAACAAATTACACACACTGAAACCCAGGACGCAATAATGATTTCTCCAAAGAGCGATATTTCGGCAAGCTCGAAAAGTGATGTGACTTCTATTGATGCTAAAGAATTACCAAAGGATCCATCATTGCGAGAAGAAGAACCAAAGCCAGCAACAGAATCGTCGGAAAGTGAAATGTCAGAAGAGATTTTCAAGGAAGAATTACGGGAAACGACAAAACTTCTTACAGAGACTATTGGAGTGAAAGATGTAGTTGAGGGAATCAAGACGGCTGTGACAACACATGAGGAATCAACTATTATAAAGACTTCTTTCCAAGATTTCAAAGAAACTGCATCTCCACCTCCCTCACCTGAAAAGTCCTCCATTAAAACCGACCTTTCACCTTCCTCTACCGTTTCATCGCTCCACGAAAGTGGAATTGAAGCTGCGAAGGAAGAGAGCGTAAGTGCAGAGCCTGTTGAGCCTTCACCCGTGACAGAAAAAGATTCACTCAAGCATATTCATACCTCATCTGTATATGATTCATCATTAACCACATCTAGCATTACCACTACATCTGTCACAGAGAAGATATCTTCGACAGTGAAACCTGTACTAGTCTCTCCTGACGAAGTCAAAATGCCTGATGTTCCCAAAGTCAAGCCAGGTGATATTGATGAAGGGAAACCATCAGATGATCAGACATCTCCACATCCACCCTCCTCTTCCTCCTCCTCCTCCTATGGTGTTGAGGGTATTGTGAAAGAGGTTAAGGAGACCAAGGACGTAATACAAGCTACCTCAGTCATCATTGCTGAGAAGCTTGCTGCTGAAGTGGGGGAACTTACTTCAAGCAAGACACAAACTACAACCTCCGAGCATGTGTCCACCGAAGAGTACAAGTCTGTCACTGCCATTACTGATAAGTCTAGTTCTGTTAAGAAATCTATAGTAGAATCTACACAGGAAACCCACATTATGGATAGCGAGGAAGTTAGTACAATTGACACATACCAAGAACCTACAACTGTTACTAGGACTATTATTAGACGAGTCATCATTGATGGGGAACCTGATGAACAGGTTGAGACGTTCGAAGAGCCTTCTGATTCTCAGATAATTACTAAAAGAATTGTTAAGCGAACTGTAGTCAGCGGTGGTGAGCCAACTGAAACAGTTGAAACATATGAAGAACCAGTTGAAGGAGAAACTGTTACAAGAACTATTGTAAAGAAAGTGACTGTTGAAGGTGAACCAGAGAAACCGTTGAAAGATTCGAGGAACCTTCAACAGAAGGAACAATTACAAAGAGAACTATTATTAGAAGAGTGATTGTTGATGGAGAACCAACAGAAACTGTGGAAACTATTGAAGAACCTTCTGTTTCTCCAACTGTTACTAGGAGAACTATTAGGCGAACCATCGTCAGTGGTGAACCAACAGAGACTGTTGAATCGTACGAAGAACCTCTTGAAAGAGAAACTGTTAAGAGAACCATAATAAGGCGAGTCATTGTCGATGGAGTACCAACAGAGACTGTAGAAACAGTTGAAGAACCCGAGTCTCCAACTGTTGCTACAAGAACTGTTAGGCGAACCGTCGTCAGCGGCGAACCAACAGAGACTGTTGAATCATACGAAGAACCTCTTGAAAGAGAAACTGTTAAGAGAACCATAATAAGGCGAGTCATTGTCGATGGAGTACCAACAGAGACTGTAGAAACAGTTGAAGAACCCGAGTCTCCAACTGTTACTACAAGAACTGTTAGGCGAACCGTCGTCAGCGGCGAACCAACAGAGACTGTTGAATCATACGAAGAACCTCTTGAAAGAGAAACTGTTAAGAGAACCATAATAAGGCGAGTTATTGTCGATGGAGTACCAACAGAGACTGTAGAAACAGTTGAAGAACCCGAGTCTCCAACTGTTACTACAAGAACTGTTAGGCGAACCATCGTCAGTGGCGAACCATTAACTGAAGAAACTGAATCATTCGAAGAACCACTGGAAAGGGAAACTGTTAAGAGAACCATAATAAGGCGAGTCATTGTCGATGGAGTTCCAACAGAGACTGTAGAGACAGTTGAAGAACCCGAGTCTCCAACTGTTACTACAAGAACTGTTAGGCGAACCGTCGTCAGCGGCGAACCAACAGAGACTGTTGAATCATACGAAGAACCTCTTGAAAGAGAAACTGTTAAGAGAACCATAATAAGGCGAGTCATTGTCGATGGAGTACCAATGGAGACTGTAGAAACGGATGAAGAACCCGAGTCTCCAACTGTTACTACAAGAACTGTTAGGCGAACCATCGTCAGTGGCGAACCAACAGAGACTGATGAATCATTCGACGAACCCGTAGAAGGGGAAACTATTAAGAGAACTATCCTTAGGCGAGTTATTGTCGATGGAGTACCAATGGAGACTGTAGAAACAGATGAGGAACCTGAGTCTCCGACTGTTACTACAAGAACTGTTAGACGAACCATCGTCAGTGGCGAACCAGGTGAAGCACTTGAATCATACGAAGAACCCTTGGAAGGGGAAACTATTAGAAGAACTATTATTAGGCGTGTCATTATTGATGGGGTTCCAACAGAGACTGTGGAAACGGTAGAAGAACCTGTTTCCCCATCTGTTACTACAAAAACTGTTAGGCGAACCATCGTTAGTGAAGAACCAAGTGAGACAGTTGAAACATACGGAGAAACTTCAGAGGAGGAAACTGTTACAAGAACTATTGTAAGGAAAGTGACTGTTGAAGGTGAACCAGGAAAAACTGTTGAAAGCTTCGAGGAACCTTCAACAGAAGGAACAGTTACAAAGAGAACTGTTATTAGAAGAGTGATTGTTGATGGAGAACCAACAGAAACTGTAGAAACTATTGAGGAACCTTCTGTTTCTCCAACTGTTACTACGAGAACCGTTAAGCGAACCATCGTCAGCGGTGAACCAACAGAGACTGTTGAATCATATGAAGAACCTCTTGAAAGGGAAACTGTTAAGAGAACCATTATTAGGCGAGTCATTGTCGACGGAGTACCAACAGAGACTGTAGAAACAGTTGAAGAACCTGGTTCTCCATCTGTTACTACAAGAACTGTTAGGCGAACCATCGTCAGTGGCGAACCAACAGAGACTGTTGAATCATACGAAGGAGCCATGGAAGGTGAAACTATCACAAAAACAATAATCAGGAAAACAACACTTGAAGGTGAACCAAGAGAAATAAGTGAAAGTCTTGACGAACCGACTGACGAGACCATTACAAAGAGAACGATTGTTAGAAGAACTATTGTTGATGGTGAGTCCAAGGAAAGTGTTGAGTCAGTGGAAGAACCTGTAGAGTATGTAACTACGAAAACAGTTAAGCATTCGCTTGTCAGTGGTATTGAACCAACAGAGAAAGTTGAAACCTATGAGGATCCTACCACAGGTGAAACTGTGACAAGAACCATAATTAGAAGGACCATTATTGAAGGTGAACCAAGAGAAACAGAAGAGACGACTAAAGAGCCTTCTGACTCTCATACTTATACAACAAGAACTGTCAAGCGTATCATCGTGAGTGGTGGTGAACCAACACAGCCAGATGAGTCTTTGGAAGAGAAACCTTCAGGTGAGACACTTACCAGGAGAACAATTATCCGAAGAACCATTGTCGATGGAGAACCAACAGAGACTGTAGAAACTGTGGAAGAACCTTCCGAGACACCATCTTATACTACTAGAACTGTTAGGCGAACCATCATCAGTGGAGGTGAACCAACAGAAACAGTTGAGACTTACGAGGAGCCTTCAGCAGAAGAAACTGTCACAAGAACAACGGTGAGAAGAGTAATAGCTGAGGGTGAACCAAAAGAAACCTTTGAAAGTGAAGAAGCATCCGAGTCAGAAACTGTAACTAGCACAACTACTGTCAAACGATCCATTGTCAGCGGTGGCGAGCGAAGAGAGACGTTTGAAACACAAGAGGGTCCCTTAGACAGTGAATTCGTTACAAGAACAATTGTCAGGAGGACAATTGTTGATGGTAAACCCACAGAGACAGTCGAGACCATTAGGGAGCCTGCTGACACTGAAGGCATGACTACAACCACAACAACAACAGTAAAGCGTACTGTCATCGGCAGCGGTGATAAAATGGAGGTGACAAAACTAGGCGAGGAATCATCAGATGATTCTGTAACTACAAGAACCACTATAAAACGAACCTTTATTAGTGGTGGTGAACCCACTGAAACCGTTGAGACACATGGAGCTCCTGTTGATGACGGCTCTGTAACAACTAGCACCAGAATAACAAAGTATGTCACAAGTGAAGGCAAGGCCAAGGAGGCATATGAAGTGTCCTCAGAAGGCACATCACTGAAATCGTTTCAAGTAGTGCTGTTGAATCCTCTGAGAGGTATCTCATAAAATCTGAAGACTCAAAATCTTCCACGTTCTCATCGACCAAAAAGAAAGTTAGCTCGGAAGAAACAGAGAAATCTACTTTCTCGAAATCCACGGCAGAAATGGTTCAAGAAGATATCAGAAGTTCTAGGGAATCTGTCTCGACAGTTGATGAGCCTATAACTCATGAGGGTCATCGACTTGGAGCTGTCAGGAAGTCATCAACTAGCAGTACTGAAGGCACACCTGGAAGCCCCAGAACGGGTCGAGTTGTAGTAAGAAAGGTTACGACGGTAATTACCAAGTATTATGACGATGGCGAGGAAGTGGAGATGGAAGAACTACCAGGGGAAGAAGTGGTTGAAGTACTTGGTGATCAAATGGTTTCTGAAGATATCCTGCGAAAGATATCAGGATCAGCTTCACAGTCTCCAATCAGCGGCAGGAAGTTCTCAGGCCATAGTATTCCAGGAACTTCAATGGCCTATACAACAACACATTCACTGTGTGGACCCTGGACAAGTGACGAATCGTTGAGTGGCGAGCCAACAGTTGTAACTCGTACCACTCGCACTACAAGAGGCGATAGTGATACAGATGGCTCTGAGGAAATTGTAACTAGCACAGTTACTAGAGTAACACGCCGGTTGATGAGTGATGATGCCTCTGACAAAGACGACAGACCTCGCTCAGCCAGTAGCGACACAAGTGGTCAAGATCCATTCCCACCACCTCAGAAAGGACTCTCTGATGTAAAAGAAGATGTTCCAGTCACAGTTGCCAGTGCTGGAATTCCATCATTTAGTACGCAGTTTGGTGCTACTGGAATGCAGTACCAGGAAGAATACGATGACGAACCTGTGTATGAGTACCATCCACCTGCTGGTGCACAGCAGCTTGAGCAGTTTATGTATGCCGACCAAGAAGGTGACTTTGACAATGGAAATCTTCCATCACGAGCGAGGGAACCATCAGCCTCTGAAGCAGAAGATAAATTAAACAGGAACCAGACCTGGAAAACGTCTATGGCAACCTCAAAGAGCTCAACATCCACCACAGTGACTACCACCACCACTTCAACAGCTAAGGATGCCAAAGATACTTTACAACAATGGGGTAAACCACTTGGGCTCCCATCTCCTGTGCCACTCCCTACTCCTCTTCCACCTTCTGACAGTCCCAAGCCTCCAAGTCCTCGTAAAGAACGAAGGACAAGCAGAAGATCCAAGAGGCTAGGACCACCAATCTACCTTGACCTAGCATATGTGCCTCATGCAGCCAACCCCAACTACACCAACGCAGACTTTTTCAGGAAAGTGCGAGCGAGATACTACGTCTTCTCTGGCATCGACCCTGGCAGGGAGGTGCTCGACGCGCTTCTTGAAGCAAAGATAGAATGGGAAGATAAAGATATGGGTAAGTAGTAAAGTTCCAAAGCAGAGCCTTCTACAACCTTTACCAATTCTTCTTAATTTATGTTCAACAAATCTCTGTCTTGCTATCAAACTTATGTTGATCTATATACACAAACTGGTTTATGACACAATTACTCTAAAACCAACATGATTTCTTATAATTACCTTTAATGTAACAACTCTTTTACCTTATTTCAAACTCATAAAATAAAAACATCAGAGTATAATGTATCTCAACAAATACACACTTAATCTAACAAAGAGCTTGAATAAACCATAATTTGTTTGCTCTTCTGTGTAATCATACATAAAACTCACTACTATACTTATATTTTCGTCTTAAATATTATAATTCAGTGATTCTCAGTGCCCTGATGTAGCATCTTCACAAGTATTCCTAAACAGATGTTTATTATACTCATTTGAACATTTGGAAATAAGCCACATTTGGAAATAAGTCACTTTGTCTAACTTTTTTGGGTTATGCTAAGTTCTTTAACCATATGCTGCTATGTATGGTAATCTATGTAACTGTATATGCGTATGCCTGAATAAATTTACTCATATATTCTACAAAAAAGTTGATATACATCAAACTTTATATGCAATATTTTTATATTATTTTATTTTTAATGTTCCATCAACTTTTGTTACTCAATTACATTCGTGTTTAATATTTTTACATTTTTCTATCACCGTAAATTACATTGTCAAAGTATTTGCAGGTTCTATTGTATTTGTAGACATTTTTTCCAATCTCCCCAGTAAAATTTCATATACATATATATATATATATATATATATATATATATATATATATATATATATATATATATATATATATATATATATATATATATATATATATATATATATCATTATTTATCTTAGCAACCAGCCTCTCAAGATGCTGCTGGTGTAGGGCTCCACATCCAAGGAACTGGAGCAGTCCTTCTCATCTCTCCTTGGCTCAAGCTTGATTACCACCCAGTTCCCAAACACTGTATGATCCATGAACTCACCTAACTGTACTCACCTAATTGTCGTTGCAGGAGTCGAGACTCAGCTCCTGGCCCTGCCTCTTCATTGATCACTACTAGGTTCCTCTGTCACTCTGCTCCCTGAGCTTTGTCATACCTCGTCTTAAAGCCATGTATAGTTCCTGCCTCTACTACATCACTCACTAGACTATTCCACTTCCTGACGACTCTATGACTGAAGAAATACTTCCTAACATCCCTGTGACTCGTCTGAGTCTTCAGCTAATAATTGTGACCCCTTGTTTCTGTGTCCCCTCTCTGGAACATCCTGTTTCTGTCCACCTTATCTATTCCACGCAGTATTTTGTATGTCGTTATCATGTCTTCCATGACCCTCTTTGTCCTTCAGTGTGTGTGTGTGTGTGTGCTTGTTTGTGTGTGTGTGTGCGTGTGTGGTGTGTGTGTGTGTGTGTGTGTGTGTGTGTGTGTGTGTGTGTGTGTGTGTGTGTGTGCGTGTGTGTGTGTGTGTGTGTATGTGTGTGTGTGCATGTGTGTGTGTGTGTTTGTGTGTGTTTGTGTGTGTGTGTGTGTGTGTGTGTGTGTTGTGTGTGTGTGTGTGTGTGTGTGTTGTGTGTGTGTGTGTGTGTGTGTGTGTGTGTGTGTCTTCATACACATACCTGCAAAAGCTTTCATACTTCATAAAATATTGATGAAAAATAATTTCATTACATCCTCTTTACATGTTATAGTTCACTAATCACCGGTCATTCCTCCGGCAGAAGTAACCATCATTCCCACGTATGACACCGACGCCCTGGGATACTGGGTTGCTGCTAACGAGGACGCTCTCATCGCTAACAAGATCGACCTGGCTCCGTCTGCTTCCCGCTGTACTATCAATCTACAGGACCATGAGACCAGCTGCAATGCTTACCGTCTCGAGTTCTGAGCAAGTTGCTCACTACTAAATCTGATAGCTAGGTCAATGTAATTTATCTCTGCTAGTGAATCCAGTCTATATCTACAAGTGAGTCCAGAACGTCTAGATATTCGAGTGAATCCGGAACGACTATATATTTATATATTCGAGTGAATCCGTAAAGTCTACATCTACAAGTGAATCCGGAAAATCAGTATATTCAAGTTAATCTGAAACATCTATAGTTACATGGGTATCAGGAATGACTATAATGCTAGTGAATCCGGACACTTACATTTATAAAGGTTTTTATACGTCTATTTACAAGTGTGTCTGGATATCTATTTGTACAAGTGAGTCTGGGTACATATCTACAAGTGAATCCAAACACCTAAAGTTACAAAGAAATCTAGACTCCAACATCTAGAAGTGATTCTAAACTGCTATATCTACAGATAAATATGCAGTGATTCCTGAGACCTAAAAATATATGTAGTTCTGGACACTGAAAGGAATCTGAACTGCCTATATTTGTAAACTCGAACACGTATCTACAACAGAATGCAGACAAACATACTAACAAGTGAATCCGGACCCTTTAGAGTGAATCTTGAATCTGAATCTTACCCGTTAGTGACTTTAGAAGACCTCTTTCTCCATATATACACATGTGGAGTATCAATCTCTGTTAATAATTCCGTTAAAGCTGCAAATACACCCAGAATATCTACATCTACACGTATTTATTACGTCTACAAGTAACTCAAGAGGATCCATATCTATAGAAAGTATCTTCGGAATGTCAACATCCCGAAGGAACTCCAGAACATCGACGCCCAAGTGTGACTCCGGTGTGTTGGGGTTTCCACTTCAGCACCCGCTTCCCCTGCTGCCTTCCAAGAGAACTTCGAGCTCTTACCAAGCCGTCTGAGTCCCCTACCCTGGTAGTCCTAAATTAGCCCAGCAGAATATTTTTCATTGACTGTCTCGTAGGTATCCCACTGCTTCGTGGGGTGCTGTGTGTAGATTCTACTACAGTCAAGTAGACATTTTTTGAAACATTTGTAGATCCTTGATGGTGGATTTTCTACATTTGCATTCATAAGGATTAATGCTAATTAATGAAAAGGAACTGTTTTTTATGTATTACTCAGTCGTGTAATTATGTCAATAGTCATATATTGATTATATCAATAGTAGTATAAATAGAAAAATATTCCGTTACAAGGAGATTACTGAAGATGGCCTTGTGTTATATACTTATTAGAGTGATCTATGATAGATTACTAACCAGATTTTGACACTTCTGACCAGACCATTTTTAAAACCTCGAATTCCACTAAACTCAGTCACTGAGAATACTAAGTACGGATATGTCTAAGGATATAGTGATCGTCAGTCTATCTGAAAGTGACTTAAGATTGTAAATGAACACTCCTGCGATCGAATAGGGCTCAGCAATATGCATTTTCAACTATTTTACTTAATAGAATTATTCTACTAATTCAGCGTGATAATACTGCAGTTATAGCTAGTCCGTGTTGCTAACATGGCTAGAGGGAGGTTGCTCACTTTGTAAATTATAATGTTACGAAAACTGTCCTTGACAGTAATCAGCTATATAGAATATAAGGCGAATATTAAAAACAAAAAGTTAAAAATGTCTTTGTTATATGTATACTAGTAGTTTATAAAAGCAGGGTGATGAGAGCGAGCCTATTTTTTTTTTTTTTTAGGCTAGGCTGAATGGTTGAGAAAAAGCAGTATCTTTCTTCCAAGAGATGAGTGTTTGGGAGTAAAGGAGTGAATGAGAAGCTAACGACCTATAAATATATACTGTATATCTTGAAACAAGTCTCTAGCGTCCACACAGTCAGTACTGATCAATTTGACACACAGATTCACATTTTTTCTGTAAGATGGCTCCCGTTGTGACGGAGGTGATAGCATGGGTCCGCTTTGTCAGTCGATAGCAAGAACTGTGACTTATGTTGATGACGAGTACTCTTGTGTTAACAGTGTACTCAAAGCTTTTTCTGTATATGCTAAGTGTTAATTGAGAGTATGAATGTCTTTCGTGATTTCTGACGTAAAGCTTATACACATTTCTTGCTTTTAGTATTATTTTTATTATTTGATGCCATCCGCTCCTTTCAAATACTGTGCATTCCATAAAAAAATCTATAAAAATGAAAAACAAAAGAGAGAGTTTGAAGAGCAGACTGACAGAAGGAGAGCATAACGTGCTCTCTCGTACTGGTGCTAAACTAATAGCCTTGCGAGCTGCAAAGTGCCATGCACAGTCCGCTATGAGGCACTAGGAGCCATGGGGGTGGCTCTGAAGCCCAGGAGCTTGTGTATGACATTTGCTCGTCAAGGGGTTGAGCACGTTGATATGCCTTTCAAGTTCTGCAAGCTTCATTATGACAAATTTTGGGCGTGTAAAACCTTGTTTCGGAGACACTGCTAGGGAATCATCGCGACTTTTTAACAAGTCAATTTTAATGACTTTATATTAATGGTCAAACTGCCAGCAATGCTTGTTCACATGGAGTGATTGACTTCATCATTTAATTGAATGAGTAATTAATCCCCCCTAGAAGTGTCTCTAAAATTGTGGTTATGGCCATGTCCATAGGCACATGCCTCCTCTGGTTACCACAGAAACTTGATGTAAACAGATCTTTAAGATCTTTCTCTGTTCCTTGAAGACAAGTCCTACCAGTGTAGGATCAGTCACTGTCGAAGCCACCCACAGAAACTAATTGCCTGTCATTTCCACGTGCGCCGAAGAGAGAAAAAATATATAAATGCAGGTGTTATTTCTGCGGTCTGGTGGTTTATGATAGGGTCAGTGAGAAAAACTTTGTGGTAGAAGCCAGGTTATGTGAACTCTCCAAATGGTCAAATGTTTTATGTGATTGCTTTAGGTGCTTATTGGCAAACCAGACGCATTCTTGTCCCTGAGCTTATTGATTGGGAAACCAAAAAAGCTTCTTGCCCTTTGCTAAGTTAATGCAGAATCTTTGTCCGTTATGGTCAATACCGGGTTGAGTTTGCCACTATGAATGATAAATACAGAGGCTAAATTGTTGCCGTTTCCCGACTGTGTTAAAGAGAGCTCAGATAAACTATTGTATCTTGATCCCTTTGACACAATGTAAGTGTTCTTACATCTCGTCTGAGAACTTGCCTGTTTGTGAATGAGGAACTTGGTATAAGTGGGATTCTTTTTATTATTTATGACATTGTGCCCCTGGGTGATATCCTATATTAGAAGTTAATGAGTGGCGAGTCACTCTTTTCAAATTTAATCTTTAATAAGGTTGAATGAAATGTGATATGATAATCATATATATTTAAGCTGTTATATTACAAGTGGTGGCGTGGACTATTGAAAGAGGATATTAGGAGATTACTAAAACGTGTACAGTGGCTTTTAGTCATTTCTGTCATAACCACCGCTGATCCTGTACCGATTTTCTGTTAACAGTCTTGAAGTAAAGAGCTTTCCGTAGACCCTCGAACGTCAGCATTCCGACCATATCTCTTTTGTCGCTCTCAGCACTATGAGTTTTGCATCTATGACACGGCCACTGCCTCTTCAAATAATTCAGCGTTTCAGGGTCTTCAGTAAAGCTCTTAATATTCCTGATTTCCAGGCTTTATTATATTATATCCAGCCTGTGCACTTTGTCGTGTGTTAAAAGAAAATATATATAAATATATATCTACGACGATATGCGTGGTAACTCTGGCAATTATTTTGTAGAGTTTACTATCTGGCTATATTGTAATGAAAGTCATCCCTATTGAACGATTGCCAATGGTTACCATCGCTGGTGTCGTCCGGGCCATATTTTTGAGGAACTTTCGTCCAGATGCGCAAACGTACCTGTCTAGCAGACGCTGGATTTTTTTGCTATTGAAGCTCGAGTGTTTAAGTCGTCAGGTGATTTTTTTTTCTTCTTCTGTACCAGAGGATACACACCTGAGGAGATAAACACTCACAGCTTCTTGCCAGAAGTCCTGCTGAAACCTGAAAGGTGACGTTGGTGCTTCACGGTCAGCAGTTACAAAGATAGGGCCCCATCATGTAGTTTCCTGCTTAATGCTTCTTGCTCCATGTCCCGTTACCTCTAGTCAAAACAACTAGAAGTCTAGAAAAGAAAAATCATGAACTCTCTGCTGACACCTATTATGTGACTTGTTTGGCTATTTTGGCTCTCGTATAGTTCACTATGGTTCATTTTCACTACTTTGTAAATAGGAAAATAAACCCTATTGTAACTCCATTTTGGGTTCTTAATTGCTGGCCTTGTCACTAATATTACGCATATGTATGGGAAATCCTGTGACATTAAAAGTAGAATAAAACTTTAAGCCTCTTTCTCTTTCCCATAAGTAACACAGGATGATGATGATGATGATGATAATGATTATGATAATGATGATGATAATGATGATGATGATATAAGTAATAATAATAATATTATTATTAATGTTGCAGCTTCTCTTCTGTGAATCCAACATGGCGCTGTATAACCCTTATGGGTTTAGTGCATCCCGATGGAATTGAAGCTAATAATTTCAGAATCTTAACGAAATAAAGTATGTGTTTACCTAGAAATTTAAAAAAGGAACATTATGGTATATTAAAAATATGATGAACTAAAATGTAACAAACGATTCATTAAGAAATATGATAAATCAAATGTTCAAAGGGATGGACCGGTAAGCCAGTGGAAGGCCTCGGTCAGATGACCAAAAGCTCCAGTGGCGGGTCATTATATGACTAAGACCCGCGTCAGGAAACACTTGTCCTGTTTCCTGACAAACCTTACCTAACCTAACCTGATAAATCCAAGTACAGTAATAGTAATACCAGTACCAAGAGAAATAGAGTAAAAACACATAGTATAAAGAGCACAATGTACACAGACGAGGTATCTGGGACCCAGGCCCAACACTTGAACATAAGAGGTACATGGGAGTACACTGGTACACTGGTACATGGTACACTGGTACATGGGAGTACACTGGTACACTGGTACATGGGAGAACACTTGTACACTGGTACATTGGTACACTGGTACATGGGAGTACACTGGTACACTGGTACATTGGTACACTGGTACATGGGAGTACACTGGTACACTGGTACATGGGAGTACACTGGTACACTGGTACACTGGTACATGGGAGTACACTGGTACACTGGTACATTGGTACACTGGTACATGGGAGTACACTGGTACACTGGTACACTGGTACATGGGAGTACACTGGTACACTGGTACACTGGTACACTGGTACATGGGAGTACACTGGTACACTGGTACATGGGAGTACACTGGTACACTGGTACATGGGAGTACACTGGTACACTGGTACATGGAGTACATGGTACACTGGTACATTGGTACATGGTACATGGATGAGTACTGGGAGTACACTGGTACACTGGTACATGGTGAGAACACTGGAAAGGTAGACTTGGGATGTCACATCGAGGCTATTAACCTGAATGATTTCCAAGTACAGTAAAGTATACCAGTACCTAAGAGAAATATGAGTAAGACACATAGTATAAAGAATGTACAAGACGAGTATCTGACCCAGGCATCACTTATAACTAAGAGTACATGGGAGTACACTGTACACTGTACATTGCGTACACGGTCATGGGAGTCATGTACCTGGTACATGGGAGAACACTGGTACATTACATTGTACATGACATGGAGAACACTGAACACTGGTACATTGGTAAACTGTACATGAGTACTGGTACAACTGGTACATGGAAGTACACTGGTACACTTACATGTACATGGGATACACTGGTACCTGGTACATGGTACACGGTACATGAGAACACTGGTACTGGTCACGGTACATGGCGGAGAAATGGTACAATGGTACATTGTACACTTACATGAGTAAGTACAATAACTGTAAGGGCAGTACACGGTACACTGGTACATGGTAACACTGGTTAATGAATACACTGTACCACCTGGTCATGGAGAGAACACTCGGTACACTGGTCATTGTACACTGACGGGATACACTGTACACTCGGTAATCCGGCCGAGACACTAAGTTATACTTGGAGTCCACATCGAGGCTATTACGAATTTACGTTTCTACCTTAAGTTACAGGATTTATGTATTATTAGGGCACGAGTAAAGAATGATAAGCCAAGATTCTTCCCAATCACTCCTCATAACAGACGTGCTGCAGTGATACCTAACGACGCATGTGCGATTACATGCAGCTTCATACGGGCATATCATGAATGGATAAAGCTATTTTTCAATGACAGATTTACCCACTAAAGCTGCAATGTTCTGAAAGCTGACATGATAGCTGTACCAAACAGTCACTGAAAGCTACCATGAAAGCAGCATCTAATAATCATTCAAAGCTGCGATGATAGCAGTGTCTAACAGTCACAGAAAACTGTCGTGATAGTATCTGTCAAAGAAAACAGTAGCTAACAGTTAAGCAAAACTAAGGCAAGATTCAGTATCTCTGGCATACGAAATTATAATAACACACCATACCCCCGGCCGGGATTGAACCCGCGGTCATAGAGTCTCAAAACTCCGGGATTGACCGCGGGTTCAATCCCGGCCGGGGGTATGGTTTATTTGCAATCGTGTCATTACGATTTCTTAAGTCAGTTATAATAACAGAAAAAAATTGTAGCCTTATAATATTTTTATTTCTACGAGTACATTTACACGGTATACAGGCCTAGCTGATATTAATAACTTACTACTATATAGAAAGCCCCTTGTTATGCAGAACATTTCGGTTAAATTAGGCCAATTTTGTCCTAGGATGCGACCGACACCAGTCGACTAACACCCAAGTACCTATTTTACTGATAAGTGAGCATGGACAATAGGTGCCTTATGAAAATAAGCCTTAACGTTTCCACCCTTACCGGAGAATTGACCCCAGCTCCTCAGTGTGTGGGATAAGTGCGCTAGCGATCGAGCTACGGGACACTATATTACGTTTTCAATGTGATCCGACCACCGCCTCTTTCCCTTCACGAAAGCTCGCTCCCCACTTCGTTTCGTCTCTCACCGCTTCACGAAACCTAGCTATCCCCTTCATTTAGCCTCTCCGTTTCCCCCGAAATCTATCTACTATATAAGCGACGTTTTAATAACCTCACAATTGGACTGATAATACACTAATAACTGCACATAAGAGAATAAAACCAATGACGGCATTTTGGTCCAGTCAAGGTATTGTGCCTTCTTTTTGGACTGACAAAATCACTAATGGGCGAAACGTTTCACGATGCATATGTGTCTTTATGCCGCCACAGTGATAAATCAAGCAACGTATGATACAATGAGAAATATATGATACAATAAGAAGCATAATACAATAAGAAACATGATACAATAAGAAGCATATTACAATAAGAAACATGATACAATAAGAAGCATAATACAATAAGAAACATGATACAATAAGAAACATGATACAATAAGAAGCATAATACAATAAGAAACATGATACAATAAGAAACATGATAAGTGGTGGACATATAAGCAATAATTCGTAAAGAAACACTGCAAGTGATTTAACTTTACATAAGTCAATAATAACTTTGGAATTCAGAAGGATAATAAATTCTGATGGATAGTAAATTCTGATGGATAGTAAATTCTGATGGATAGTAAATTCTGATGGATAGTAAATTCTGATGGATAGTAAATTCTGATGGATAGTAAATTCTGATGGATAGTAAATTCTGATGGATAGTAAATTCTGATGGATAGTAAATTCTGATGGATAGTAAATTCTGATGGATAGTAAATTCTGATGGATAGTAAATTCTGATGGATAGTAAATTCTGATGGACCGTAAATTCTGATGGATAGTAAATTCTGATGGACCGTAAATTCTGATAGATAGGAAATTCAATGGATAGTTCATTTAGTTCATTTAGGGACAGGTACTCATAAGTACAATTATCATATATATAGTGTAAATTACCTAGGATTACCCAAAAAAAAAGTCAAAGTGACTTATTTCCATTGAAGTCCTTGGTTATTTCCACTATTTATTATTATTTTTATTTTTTTATTATCACACTGGCCGATTCCCACCAAGGCAGGGTGGCCCGAAAAAGAAAAACTTTCACCATCATTCACTCCATCACTGTCTTGCCAGAAGGGTGCTTTACACTACAGTTTTTAAACTGCAACATTAACACCCCTCCTTCAGAGTGCAGGCACTGTACTTCCCATCTCCAGGACTCAAGTCCGGCCTGCCGGTTTCCCTGAACCCCTTCATAAATGTTACTTTGCTCACACTCCAACAGCACGTCAAGTATTAAAAACCATTTGTCTCCATTCACTCCTATCAAACACGCTCACGCACGCCTGCTGGAAGTCCAAGCCCCTCGCACACAAAACCTCCTTAACCCCCTCCCTCCAACCTTTCCTAGGCCGATCCCTACCCCGCCTTCCTTCCACTACAGACTGATACACTCTTGAAGTTATTCTGTTTCTCTCCATTCTCTCTCCATGTCCGAACCACCTCAACAACCCTTCCTCAGCCCTCTGGACAACAGTTTTGGTAATCCCGCACCTCCTCCTAACTTCCAAACTACGAATTCTCTGCATTATATTCACACCACACATTGCCCTCAGACATGACATCTCTACTGCCTCCAGCCTTCTCCTCGCTGCAACATTCATCACCATGCTTCACACCCATATAAGAGTGTTGGTAAAACTATACTCTCATACATTCCCATCTTTGCCTCCAAGGACAAAGTTCTTTGTCTCCACAGACTCCTAAGTGCACCACTCACCCTTTTCCCCTCATCAATTCTATGATTCACCTCATCCTTCATAGACCCATCCGCTGACACGTCCACTCCCAAATATCTGAATACATTCACCTCCTCCATACTCTCTCCCTCCAATCTGATATCCAATCTTTCATCACCTAATATTTTTGTTATCCTCATAACCTTACTCCTTCATGTATTCACTTTTAATTTTCTTCTTTTGCACACCCTACCAAATTCATCCACCAATCTCTGCAACTTCTCTTCAGAATCTCCCAAGAGCACAGTGTCATCAGCAAAGAGCAACTGTGACAACTCCCACTTTATGTGTGATTCTTTATCTTTTAACTCCACGCCTCTTGTCAAGACCCTCGCATTTACTTCTCTTACAACCCCATCTATAAATATATTAAACAACCACGGTGACATCACACATCCTTGTCTAAGGCCTACTTTTACTGGGAAATAATTTCCCTCTTTCCTATGTACTCTAACTTGAGCCTCACTATCCTCGTAAAAACTCTTCACTGCTTTCAGTAACCTACCTCCTACACC